GGAGAACGACGAAGAGGATCGCGCAGATGATCGAGTTGAGTTGGAGGTGGCGAGCGCAGATCGTCGACGTATGAACCATGTCAACGAAGAGTTGAATGAGTATTGCAGCAGGTGGTGGCCTAAATTACGTGCTAGCTTCGAACAGACTTACCTCCCGAACCTTTGGGTGCCCTTTTCAGTGCTAGGAGCCATCATTCTGTTGGGTTTAACTATAGTCCAGACGATATTTACAATACTTACTTACTATGATCAACTCAAGAACAACAAATCCCAGCATTAGGCATTGTTTGCTATGATCAATGACGCACGTATGAAGTGTTGGGTCTCGAGTATCTCCTTTGGATATATGTATCTTCGTTGTAGAAATTGCATTCACAAATGTACATTCGGTGTTTGTTAGCTGAAAAAAAATTGTTGATTTGCATCCCCTTTCGTTGCAAGAAATGTTTTATGAAATTGTTGACTCCCCTATCCTAACGGCATGGCATAATTTTGTAAAATTTGAATGCAAAAGGGCGTAGCACTTGCCGCAAGCAAAACTGTTGCAGATTGCGTTTCTTATTTATTTATTTATTTATTTAAACAGAATATGAATCAGCTCCTATTTCCAACTATAATTTTGCTAACAAAACACGGTTAGTAAAAAAATAGAACAAATTTTCGAATTAAACTCATTTAATTTTTTTTATTATAAAAATCGACTCAATCCACTTTTTATTATCAAAACCGACCCATTTCGGGCCACGTCAGCAGCGTGGCCACGAAATGGATCGGTTTTTTTTAAATGACGCCGCTAAATAGTCGGGGTTGCCAACCCCGACTATTTAGTTATGTCGGGGTTGGAAACCCCGACTATTTAGGTAAGGGCAAGCTAAAATAGTCGAGGTTTCCAACCCCGACTAATTTAGGCCCCTCTCTAATTGGTCGGGGTTGGCAACCCCGACCATTTGGAAAGCTCATTTCGAAATAGTCAGGGTTCCCAAACCCGACTATATGGCAGAGACTCTGGCCCAGTCGCCGAGCGGTGAAAAGGCTAAGTCACAATAGTCAGGGTTCACAACCCGACTATTTGTTCACTGGGCCCGCGACCTATATAAAGGTCACGACTTCACTCTCTCACTCATTTTCGGTTCCAGCCGCGTCTCTCTCTCATTTTCGTCGATCTCCTCCTCCCAAACTCTCTTTCAGCCACGGATTGCAGCTTTCAACCTCAATTTTTGTGCGGAATTCTAGGGGTGAAAGATCTAACAGGTACTCTCTCTCCCTTCTCTCCTCTTTTGACACGTAGAAATCTAGGGTTTTCTCTCCAAAACGAATTTATAGTGTTTGAACTCTATTTGTAGTGGTTTATTTAGAAATTTTATTCTTGTTGTAGTTGAAATTAAATATTTGGGGGCATAGAATACTCAATTTTAGGGTTTAGAATTTGGGGGTCAATTTTAGGGTTTAGGATTTAGGGGTTTACGGTTGTAATTGTGTTTTAGGGTTGCAATTAGATTTTAGGGTATTAATTGATAATATTTTTTAAATTTTTTGCATTTAAATGATATAATTTTGATTTGTATAGGTTGAACAATTTGATTTTTATTGCTTGCTCTTACGGTGGAACGATTAAGTATGGAATGAATAATATGCCAATGTACGTCGGAGGGATGACAATCCCGTTAATGATATCGGAATCATACAGTTACATTGACTTGGTTAATGAATTGCATGGAGTTACGACAATTGACCCACGAGATTGCCGGCTAAAAATAATATGCAATTGGCCGATAACTTATGATAGAACGTCCGCCGTTGAGATCTCAAACGATCATTCCATGAGTATTTTGTTTAATTTGAGCAAGTCACAACCAACGGTAGAATTGTTTATTGAAACGGTGCCACATAGTACGGGCCGAATATTCAACCCTCCAGGAGAATTTTCACGCATGTTAGATTTGGAAGTTGAGTCTGAAGGCTTTCTTTCTTCTTCGAGTGAAATACAGCGGACTCAATTTCAATATAAGGGTGGTGCACCTTCATATGAAGAGGGTGAAAGAAGCGACGCCTCTGATGGTGAAGATGAAGATAGTGCAACACTTGACAACATGCAATTTGTGGGTGAAGATGATGAAGAGAATCTGGATTGGCCAGATAAAGCTTATGTTAATAATGAATATGTGGAGTACGAAGAACCACCCCCCGACGAGTTTGAGGATGATGAGTGGGTTCGTTCTTCCACAGCACATGATATCCGCATTGGTGAAAGTTCATCCAATAGAGGAGATGATGAGGAGGTTCCTTTCAGAGTTGGTGAATTATTTGAGACTAAAGACCAATTGGTAGATGCTATTCGTGATTACTCAATCAAAAAGTTGGTCAAATTCAAGCAAATTAAAAGCAATCGTACAAGTTATGAGGCAATCTGTTTTATGAATACACAAAGGCAAGGTCGGGCAGAGGGGAATGAATCTGATTACGCATGTCCTTGGAAGTTATATGCAGTTGCCGGAAAGAAACATAATGAGTATTTTAGGGATCAAAAGAAGCAATCCTGAATCTGAATACAAACTCATAACCAAAGAGGTCAATCCGGGAGTTCATAAATTCACCTCTGTATTTTGGGTATTTGGTCCTTCGATCGAGGGATTTAAATTTTGTCGGCCGATCCTTAGCATTGATGGGACACACTTATACGGTAAATATAAGGGTGTATTACTTGTCGCTACAGGAGTAGATGCAGATGGGGGCTTATTTCCTTTGGCCTTCGCAGTTGTAGAGGTCGAGAATAGTGACAATTGAGAGTGGTTTTTTTCTTGCATCCAATTATATATTTTTAATGTGTTGCCTCCTAGAAAAATTACTTTTATATCTGATAGGATGAAAGGTATTCCAAGAGCATTGTACAGGAGATTTGGCTCTGATCACAATCACCGCTATTGCTTACGACACATTAGAGCTAATTTTAAAAAGAGCTTTGGTCAAGTACATCTACAAAACCTTCTTTGGCAAGCGGGTGTTACACCCGAAACGTGTGTGTATGGTCGGATACGGGATCAAATCAAGGCAACATCTCCAGCTGCACATGATTGGATTGAGAGTAGTTTGGGAAACGATTATGTCGACCGGTGGGCTCTAAGTAAAGATGGAGGGAATCGCTATTGCATGATGACAACTAATTGTTCTGAAAACTTCAATGGTGTACTTAAGGGGGCTCGAGCAATGCCCATACAGGCGTTGGTTGCGAGGACATTTTATAGACTAAATAAGTATTTTGTCAAGCGGCGAGAGGATGGAGCAAAGTGGGGAACGTTGTTGACCCTAAAAAATAAAGAGATTATAGGAGCTCGTGTCAAGCAGACCAAATTGACTAAGATTGTGAGATTTGCTATAGATGAATGGGAGGTTACAGATAATCACGGTCATAATTACACCGTCAATCTACGAGGGACACAATGCGCATGCACATGTAACATTCCAGAATTGCAAAAATTACCATGTGCACATGTTATAGCGGTTACGACCAAGCAATTTGGGGGTGCAAATACATCATATTACATATACGCTTCTGAGTGGTACCAATCAAGCCACTATAGAGATTCATACAGTCAGTTTTTTCATCCCATTGTACTATAGAGATTCATACAGTCAGTTTTTTCATCCCATTGTAGATAGTCGTTACTGGCCACCCTATAACGAGTCGCATGTGTTACCTCCTGAATTTAAGAGGCAAGCCGGACGCCCGAGATCAACACGCATAAAGTCTACGATGGATGGAGGTCGGGAAGGAGTTCCAAAAACAAATAGATGTGGATATTGTAGACAACCGGGCCACAGGAGATCTCACTGTCCCACCAATCCAAATAAATAGCAATTAATGGGTATAATTATTCTATTCTTTGTTAATTATTCAACTTCGTTTATACTTCATTATATTCTACTTCATTATATCATCATATGTGCTTCATTTATATCATCATATGTGCAGCTATGGAGGCGGGGTCATTGACGTATGAGGTCCTTTATGACCAACCTCGATATCGATCCGCGAAGATTGACACTGGGGAGGTAATTAGATTGATAGTTATAAATTACATTTTCATTCAAGGATTGTTCTAAGTTATTGGTTGTTACTGAACATTTACACTGTTTATTATATGCAGGCCCCGAGCAATACTATCGTTGATCACACTCGTGCACACTCGAGCTGGGAGTTGACCGATCCACATGTCCAATATTATGTTCCGCCGTCGCCTCCTCAGGCTGCAGATGTATTGGAGGAGCGCCGATATGAGCCATATAGCACAGCTGTAGAAGCTGCGCCACTACCGCCAGATTCTATTCCGGATCAGCGAGCCTACGACCCGGCCAAGGTGAAGGAGGATTGGGATGCTTATCATGATTTGCGACTTATCGCACAGCAGCGGTAGTAGGGGTTTTGCTTGGACTCCGAGTGGATGGAGATGCTGTCACAGGTAGCGACGACTTCAACTGGTCAAACAAGTGTGAAGAATTGTTGGGTCAAGTTCCTCACATGAGGGGTGGAAGGATCAAACTTGAATGGTTGAGAAACAATTTTATGAAGGCGTAGATGCCTCGAATTGAAAGGTGTGTATAGATTTTTATAGTTTATATGTTAATATTTTAATTTTTATTATCGATATTGATTGATTTATATTTCGCCTAAATTTCATTTTTTTCGTAGGTACCGAGCGACCTACTAGGCGCGGCCGTAGTAGTACCAAGCCACAGAACCTCGTCCCAGATATTCGTCTGAGGGCCGTGATCCGATGGCAGAACGGCGTGCCTGTCAGGCCATTTGCTAACTCTTTCAACAATTTCCTCGCCGCTTTAGCCAGGAGACATGATTTGTTCAAAACAAAGAATTCAAGGGTTGTCTCACTCTGCTACAGATATGGTCTTGGGAGAGATTGCATTATTGCCCAGATTTGAGAGAGGCACGTGCTCTCGATGGTAGTATTCCGTTAGGCTGCAGGTATTACTAATTTATTTTAAAAAATATATGATTACATGTAATTTTATACATTTATTTTAATTTATACTAACTCATTGTATATAAATTAGATGGAATGTATCTAGATCATGGCATACCTCACCAAAGGGCCATGAAAACTTCTATAGGAACGAGCTCGATCAAATGGAGGACGAACGGGTATTAAATCATAATATCTAAAAATTTTCAATCATTACATCATTTATTACTGAAATCTGCTTTACTTTATCTTTTTATAGGTCAAGTGGATGCCATATGAACAAGTTTTAGAGTCACTACCAGATATATGCACAGAAGAGCCGGATGTGTGGCGTGCTCGCGTCCCGATCATATGTTTTGAGATTGTCGAGATGCACATGCCCGACCGTGTGCTCCGACAATTTGGGCTACAACAACATATCCCGGGCCCTGTGGAGGTAATAGAGAGAAATCCCAGAAAAGGTGCACATCGTCAAGATTGGGAACATATTCACAGTGCTTACATCGGGAGGTAGGATAACAGGGAAGAACATTTAGTGATGGAGAGGGTTGACGCACCTGACCTAGGTGTGTATTTGTGGTGGTATTGGGGGATTACTCGCCGGTGGATATTTCAGGAGAACAAAGCCCCTAAGGAATACATACCAAGAGGCCCAGTTGAGAGAGAGTTGGTAAGTGTATAAGCAAAATATACAGTTACCTTGTGAGTTTTATTTTATTATCATCCAAATCATAATAGCTTTCTTGGGGTTTTTATCGTATAGGTACAAGAGCTCGAAGAACTTTCTACTATGGCGCATGATGCAATCCGAACAACTACCGAGCCAGGGCCGAGGAACACGTTCCTTCGCATGATCAAAAAGATTCGGTCCGCTCTTCAAAGGACGCGTAATGCAAGACGAGATGGACGTGATGAGCGACCAATTGAGTACGGTCGTCACCGGTTCCGAGGACACACGGAGGCAGGCTCAAGCGGTGCACATGATGAAGCTGGCGGCTCACAACAGGCCCAAGCCGAATGTTCACAGTCGGTTCGAGTCGATGAGGATGTCATGCACTCCCAACTTCACACACAACCGGACGAGGAACTGATCCGAGCTCACGTCGAAGGTGAACGTGTCAGGGGGAGAGGGAGGGGGAGGGGGAGAGGGAGAGGAAAGGGAGTTGTATCCGATTGAAACTGAATATTATGTATCTGATTGAGTATTGATAGGATGTTTGCGTTTGAAACTAAATATTATGTATTCGATTGAGTATTGATTATTAGTATGTGAATTGCATGGTATGTATCCGATTGATTATGGATTTTTATTTGAGATTATTGATTGGTATGTGTGTTATTGTGATTGTGATTAAATTGTGGATTGATATGTAACAGCAGGAGTTTGAATTTCCAGTGGAGTTCGTATTTCCGGCTGTTTTCAGCTGAAAGAGTCTGCCAAATGGTCGGGGTTGGGAACCCCGACCATTTTGTGCACGAACACAAAACGGTCGGGGTAATGGTCGGGGTTGGGAACCCCGACCATTTTGTGCACGAACACAAAACGGTCGGGGTTCCCAAACCCGAGCATTTTGTCGTAGCATAATAAACAACCCCTGCCTCTCTACCAAATGGTCGAGGTTGCCAACCCCGACCAATTAGAGAGGGGCCTAGTCGAGGTTGGAAACCCCAACTATTTTAGCTTGCCCTTACCTATATAGTTGAGGTTGGAAACCCCGACATAACTAAATAGTCGGGGTTGACAGCCCCAACTATTTAGCGGCGTCATTTAAGAAAACCGACCCATTTCGTGGTCACGCTGCTGACGTGACCCGAAATGGGTCGGTTTTGATAATAAAAAATGGATTGAGTCGATTTTTATAATAAAAAAATTTAAATGGGTTTAATTCGAAATTTTGTTCAAAAAAATATAACTACAAATATTTACTCAGGTAAATTGCAGATAAACTCTCATACCATAAATCAGCCAACTGCGGATAGACTATCATATATCAGCATTTACTAGAATTACCGAGAGTTCCAGCAGTCCTTAAATATTAGGTTCTAGTGCAATAACGAACCACACGATTGACAGTACAGGGTGCCATAGAAGCACAAAGGGAGAAGGAAGAACAAAGAACCAGGACTTAAGCCAGTTTTTATCTTTTAAACCAGAGTATTATCATTATTTACTGATTTAGGGACAAAAGCAGCAGGGCGCCACGCCAAGTTCAGCCCATGGCATACTTCTGCGTCCATGAGCGAGCTGTAGATTCGTACTTGGCCCTGTCAGTCTTGTACATATGAGCAATCTCAGGCACCAAAGGGTCATCAGGATTGGGATCGGTGAGCAGGGAGCAAATGGATAGTAAAACCTATTTAAGAGAAACAAGAGTTGAGAGCGAATCTGTAAACGGGGAGGTGAACAAGAATAGTATTTGTTTAACAAACAAACAAATAATAATAATAATAATAATGATGATAATACCTTGGAGATTGTCAGGGCAGGGCTCCATTGCTCTTTGAGAATGTCCAGGCAAATGCTGCCGTTGCTGTTGATGTTTGGGTGGAAAACCCTAGTGCGGAAAGAGACCTGCATACAGACGACAAAAAGTTTAACAAATTGCAATTACATGAAGCATGATCATAGACACGTATTGGTCACAAGGCTCAAGCCAGAAAACAAAAAATACCATAAAGTATTCTAGACTGGTAGAAAAAAATCAAGAAGAATAAGTGTTATTTCAAAGAAAAGAATATTTAAACTTCAATACTTCATTATTTACAAAGATAAATATAATGGTTGCAACAACGCAACAAAACAAGAAATAACTGAGCACTAGTAACAATGGAAATGAAATATCCTTTTGAGTGCCCAAAAATCAAAAGACAACAAGAAACATATTTTCTTCTTTTACTCACCTACCAGACAGGGAGGTGAGATGGCTGAAAGAAGAATAAAGATGTTACAGCATAACAAAGAAGGTTGCACAAGGTTATCAATGTGCATGATTACCATTTTGGATAAGGAAAGTTCAATCATTTTTTGGTTTCTTTTAAAGCAATGTAATTGTTGGACAACAAGATGAACAAAATAGCCTCAAAATTGGACTGCTAAAGAAGCAAAGTGTCTCCAAAAAATAATTGAGAGATGTATAAACCAGACTCAGAAAACCCATAAGTACTGATTCATGATATTATGTTGTTTTCATACATTAATTAGTTCATGGTAATAAACTTGTTTGATAACAACTGCAAATGATATCAACCTGAGGATGACTGGCTGAAGAACATACACACACAGCTCTCGACAAGCAACCACCAGCTACTTAGAACAAGGCCGGCCTAAAGTCGAGCAGAAAAGGAAAGAGTATAAAGGAAGAAGGAAGAGGGTTAAACCGTAGTGAGTTTTGATGTTGCACTAGTAGCATCCTAAGATATGAAATTAGGTAAGACCTTGTAGCCAACTCCAAATCTAATCATTGCACATGTTCAAAACCTGAGAAGCTTAAATATAATGACCACAAAACAGTTGTGACTGTCAAGCATAAAATTCTGCTACTCCTAATGCCACTGATGCCATAAACAACCCATAAAGCTGACTATTTTTAAATATTATGTTGAGCTAGTTTGATAGCAAATAGCATAGTAGCAGGATAAGCCTGATCTTCCTTCCAGAGTAACAGCCGCTCAAAACTGAATAGACAGTAAAGATACCCATAGTATTTTATAGCACTGTTTACAAGATGCCTGCTAAGAGGTTCAATTACAGTAATAGACATTAGAATGCAAAGTACATTTCCCTAACTGGAATAAGAGGTGGTACCTTTGGGGGCTTGAAGGGATAGTCCGGTGGAAAGTGAATTGTCACCAGAAAAACGCCACCAGCAAAGGGGCTATCTGTGGGTCCCATAATGGTCGCTTGCCAATGGAACATGTCTTCCCCAACAGGACCTAAAAGATAAGAGGAAAAAAAGTTCATACAACAACAATAAAACCAAGTGTTTGGGGTTGGCTACATTACATGAATCCTATTCTTCAGGGAAGAAAAAGAAAACAGTTCATAGAACATTAGAAAATTTTGACATCAACAAATATATTGTGAAGTTAAATTTCACCAAATATTTTTGGATCATATATTATAATTTTTTTTCAGAGAACTTGGAAATGCTGCAAACAAATCAGTTAAAATCAACAAGAATATTCCTTCAGTTGTCACATTTCACAAAGAAACAAAATTTAAGAAATCAAACACCTTTCTTTTCCAGGAATCATGTTTTTAAGGCATCTATATTTTTTTATTGCACATGTTCAAAACCTGAGAAGCTTAAATATAATGACCACAAAACAGTTGTGACTGTCAAGCATAAAATTCTGCTACTCCTAATGCCACTGATGCCATAAACAACCCATAAAGCTGACTATTTTTAAATATTATGTTGAGCTAGTTTGATAGCAAATAGCATAGTAGCAGGATAAGCCTGATCTTCCTTCCAGAGTAACAGCCGCTCAAAACTGAATAGACAGTAAAGATACCCATAGTATTTTATAGCACTGTTTACAAGATGCCTGCTAAGAGGTTCAATTACAGTAATAGACATTAGAATGCAAAGTACATTTCCCTAACTGGAATAAGAGGTGGTACCTTTGGGGGCTTGAAGGGATAGTCCGGTGGAAAGTGAATTGTCACCAGAAAAACGCCACCAGCAAAGGGGCTATCTGTGGGTCCCATAATGGTCGCTTGCCAATGGAACATGTCTTCCCCAACAGGACCTAAAAGATAAGAGGAAAAAAAGTTCATACAACAACAATAAAACCAAGTGTTTGGGGTTGGCTACATTACATGAATCCTATTCTTCAGGGAAGAAAAAGAAAACAGTTCATAGAACATTAGAAAATTTTGACATCAACAAATATATTGTGAAGTTAAATTTCACCAAATATTTTTGGATCATATATTATAATTTTTTTTCAGAGAACTTGGAAATGCTGCAAACAAATCAGTTAAAATCAACAAGAATATTCCTTCAGTTGTCACATTTCACAAAGAAACAAAATTTAAGAAATCAAACACCTTTCTTTTCTTCTCCAGGAATCATGTTTTTAAGGCATATATATATATATATATATAGAGAGAGAGAGAGAGAGAGAAATGGGTATGCTTAGTACCAAGCACAAGTTTTTGTGCTTGGTAGTGAGGTGACATATTCCCTCCACTTATTGAAATCAGGGTCCACATTCACATGGATTGGGGAGTGGTTGAGAATTGGAATGAGTGGATGGGAATAGGACACCTTACTACCAAGCATAAAATTTGTGCTTTGTACCAAACATACTCATTTTTCTCATATATTATATAAGCACAATATTTGTGCTTGGTACCAGGCATACCAAACACAAATATTGTGCTTATATATATATGAGAAAAATGGGTATGTTTGGTACCAAGCACAAAATACCATCCATTCATTCTAATTCCCAACCACTCCCCAACCCATGTGAATGTGAGCCCCGATTTCAATGAGTGGATGGGAATATGTCAAAAATGGGTATGCTTGGTACCAAGTAAAAATTTTGTGCTTGGTAGTGAGGTGTGCATTATTCCCATCCACTCGTTCCAATTCCCAACCACTCTCCAACCCATATGAATGTGGGCCCCGATTTCAATGAGCGGAGGGGAATATGTCACCTCCCTACCAAGCACAAAAACTTGTGCTTATATATATATATAATTTAACACCAAACATTTCATTATTTCAACACAAAGAGAGCATACTTTAATAGATGATCCAAAATGCAGCATAGTGAACATAAATTCATAAAAGAAAACATCATCCACAACATTGCAAGAAACCACCTTATTTAACCAACATACCAGTCAGACTAAACAACCAACAGAGTGATGTACATACATATGGGAGAATTTATGTGTCAGCATGTATGCATAGCATATCTACTTTTGGACGCATATGAATATTGTTAGACGACATAAATTCGTGTACTCCATCTTAAATTAGCCAAAAATGCATATAAACTACTTTTTCCGTGAATCCATTTTTCCTTCGTTTCAACCTCAAAAAATTAATTAATTTTCCCGTTTAAAAGAAAAATCGTATCTCGAACCTTTTTACCTGCAGGGTGGAAAACTATGATCCCATGTTTACCTCTTAGTAATGAAAATTTAACTTCTTAAGCTATTGAGGCATACTTGATACAGGGCCTTATGAACAATGAACCACTGTCACTACAAGCATATAACCAGCATGAGACTGGTACTTATAAACATTATAAACCTCTACCAAACCTTTGTTTTACTTGTCTGACTACTAATCCCTCCTTACAGTTAAATTTAGGCTAAATAAACACAGGTGCAAGATGATATATAGCCTAGGACTCAACATATAGTCAATGTGATCTCTATTGTTCTTCTTTTATCAAAGATTGGACTGCATCCGCGCACACAAGACCTTTCTCACCATTGACAACTCTAAATTTAATTATGCAATGCCAAACAATCCAACCAAAAATTAAGTCTAACCAGTAGTTAATAGTAAGAACATAACTCTCTATCATTGCCTCTGGTCTAAGTATGTGTTGGCAGCCAAAAAAGAAATGTGCGGGAGAGATCATAAGGAATTTCAATACAACCATGACATCAAATAGTAGTAGAGTCAATTTTTTTTTTTTTGAGCATTCTATTCTACAACCATTTATAACAATATGCATTCCTTCATCAGGTACAAGTGAAACTCTAATATGTTATAGGCCGGGTTTTGACACTCTATTTGGTGTCATGTTTTAAGATTGGGACAAAGAAAATAGAGAAAATGACACTAAAACTAGATGCCAAATATTTGCATACACATTTATATAATGATAAAGCTATGCGACACTTTTTTTTTCCCCAAGCAATAGTATTCCCTTCGCATATTCTAACGATTAGCCAACAAAAATAAAAAAAAACGAAAAAAATTGTATTTTTCACTAAAATGAAAGCACTTAAAGCACTGTTAACAATAAATATTCAAAGATTAAACTAAAAAAATCAAAAAGTAATAAACAAACCTGCACTGCATGAAGTCGGAGGATCCTTCTGCAGATCCTTCAACTCCTTCAGAATCCTCTTCGACGCCATCGCCAACAATCAAGGCAAGAACCTGAACCCAAACAACACAAGATCGCTCCTTTTCACGCTAGAAATCAACAAAATCCAAAAAAAAAAAACAATTTAAGGAAACCCTAGAAATTAATCAGATCGATTTGAGAGAGGAGGAGTACCAAATTATTGGGGTTTAGGTTTCTCTCCTTTCTCTTCACAGCAAAAAGAAATCGAACACGGATTCGTTTATGAAAGGGGGCAAGGGTCTTTATTTATAGATTTTATTTTTTCGGTGGTTTTAACTTTTTTTTATTTATTTTTGTAAATTTGGTGAGCCGTCGGATTGGAAAAAGAAGAATCTGGAAGGGTACGAATGCGGTGTTGAAACTGAGTCAACCCTTTGTGGGGTCCACTAGTCAGTGGACGGGTGCGAAAAGAATGTGGTGAGAGGCAGGTAGATTCCGCAATGGGGCTTTATTCTGTGATGCGTGGGGATTACGCGGGGTCTCTGTGGAGGGTAAAATAGGGATTATATGAGGGTTATTTTAATGGTTTTAATTTCATAAAGAAACCCCTTGTACTTCGGACAGCTTGCAGAAAGCGCCGCTTAACTAATTTTATTCACAACACCCCAGAGCTTTGAGGGGATTTGCATAACCCCTGAACCTGTTCTATTCCACCTTTTTAAACATATTACGAAAAAGAATTGATAAACTATTAAGCCCCGAAAGGGTCGCTCTTTTATCATTTTTATTTATTTATTATTATTTTCAATTTTCATTGCCTTTTTGACCATCGGTGCACATATTTGCTATTCTTTTTTGTCTAGTTGACACAGCGAGGAAGTAATAGTCTCGGAATCCATCAAGGGCGTTCTCTGAATCCAAAAAGAGCAATCTTCGAATCCACGAAGAAAATATCAAAAAAAGGAAATTTATTGATCAAAAGTTACTATTCCCCTTTGGGGTTCAAAAGTTATTATTCCCCTTTGGGGTTACATGACTCTTCTTAAATAGAAAAATAAATAATACTCATATTAAGACTAGAATTACAAAAAAAATAAAAAGTATCAAATTATATCCTAAAAAGACTCCCTATAATAGAGGAAACAAATCATGAATCAAAAGTGAATTTGTTTCCTAATTTAATTGGACTCTAATATTAAATTTATTTCCTAATCTAAATAGACTCCAAATTTATTACTAAAAATAAACTAAAAGCTGGTTATTTTTGGATTTCAGCCAAAACTGGATATTACTGATGAGATTTTAAAAATCTAACAATCTGGTTGGCTCCGCCTCGTCGAGATATACAATTTACATATATAATATATCAGAATTCGCCTTCTGGATTAAAAAATATGATTGTTTATTTGTAGAAGTCAATAATATGTGTAGTTTGTGATTCTCCGAATCCTCCATGAAATTGTCCTTTAAACGTCCTATATCAGTCACCCCTTGTTGAAAGAAGCTCTACCCCGAGCTTATATTTGTTAGAATAATAGATTCATTGATAAATAATTTTCTTCATTTGCAACGATCAGCATCCACGTTGTATTTAGTATTAATTTTCTTCGTTTGTTCTTTTACCTCCTCTATTAGGATTTCTTTTGTATCAAACTTGTGTATGAATCTTTTTTATGACATATGTATGTAACTGGCAGCATGTGGCTCTGTAGTCGATATGAAAAACTCCTCCAAATATTTTCCTTGTTGTTTCCCATATTCTAGTGTTGATGGTATCATCTCATCATTGTTAAAATTATTGATGACTATTGCTTCCAAAAAATAATTTTCTTCCTCATACTTCATACATAATTCTTTCATCTCCTTTATCTCAAGCTCTCTACCAAACAATGCACACATACCATCAATTGCCTCGTTCTCTATTTTATCCTTCTCCTCCATTGGGACAATATCAATATGTGTAACATCACTCACGATATCATGTAGAATATTCATCTTTATTAACATATCATTATCAACATCAGGAACCTCAGGATGAATCTTGATGGTGGCAAAATCTTCCTTTTCAGGGGTGAGCGTCTTGTTGTTTGTCACTAGAGAAGCCTTCTCCTTAGCAATCTTTGTCTTAAATGCCTTCGGTTCTAGTATTGACATAATTGATGAAGTCTTTATTGGTTCTTCCTCGGTGCTCTTCACAAATCCATGCTCTTTCTCAGAGATGAATTGAGGTTTCTTAATTTTTCGATAATCATAACTAGTTTGATAACTCTCTAAAACATCCATGATAAAGATTGTATGCCGCTCTGCTCAAGTTCTCGCTCCACCTTCTTCGCTAGACGGATCGTAGCGGCTAAGGTAAAAGAATCTTTTTAAGACAACTGACATTGCTTGTAGTTAAAAGGTAAGAAACGGTCTCTCAATAATTTCTTCATCTTTACCCACGTTCAAACCGGATCCTTCCCTTGATGGTATTGATTTATTAGTACTTCATCCCACTATGCAGATGTCTTTTTTTTAAACCTGTAGGTCACTAATTTAACTTTTTAATCTTCTGGGATTATCTTATACTCAAAATACTTATCCACTTCATCAATACAATTAAGAAAATCATCAGCATGAAGCTTTCCGTTGAAGGATGGTATTTTTTTTATCTTCTAGTGTCATAATTTTCCTAACTTTAGTGGTCTCTGCGATCATAACCGTGGCATGAGGCTTCATAGTCATCACTATTGAATTCATCATGTGGAGTCGGATCACATCGTTGGCGACCATCAACGCCATTTTGAACTCCTCGCATATTCAGACGCTCCACTCTCGATGCAAGTCGTTCTATAACAGTCTTCATCTGATTAACATCGGTCTTCAGCACGTCGAACTCGGTTCGAGAAAAAAGGGTTTCATCGCCTGCCATCGATCGGAGGAACAAAGCTCTGATACCAATTGACACAACACGGAAGTAGTAGCCTCGGAATACACCAATGACGTTATCTGAATCCACAAAGAACAATCTTTGAATTCACGAAGAAAATATTAAAAAGCGAAACTTTATTTATCAAAAGTTATTATTCTCCTTTAGGGTTACATGATTCTTCTTAAATAGAAAAATAAATAAGACTCTTAATAAGACTAGAATTACAAAGAAATAGAAAGTATCAAATTCTATCCTAAAAAGACTTCCTATAATAGAGGAAATAAATCATGAACCAAAATTGAATTTGTTTTCTAATCTAATTGGACTCTAATATTAAATTTATTTCCTATTCTAAATAAACTCTAATTTTATTACTAAAAATAAACTAGAAGCTGATTATTTTTGGATTTCAGTCAAAACTGGGTATTACTGAAATTTTATTACTAAAAATAAACTAGAAGCTGATTATTTTTGGATTTCAGTCAAAACTGGGTATTACTGATGAGATTTTAAAAATCTGACAATCTGGTTGGCTCCGTCTCGTCGAGATAGACGATTTACATATATAATATGTTAGAATTCGTCTTCCGGATTAAAAATATGATTGTTTATTTGCAAAAGTCAATATATGTGTAGCTCATGATTCTCCGAATCCTCCATGAAATTATCTGCTAAGCGTCCTACATCACTAGTATAACTTTGAATAGCCAAATTTGTTCATGAGAAAATATCAACAAGCTGCTCAAATTCTTACTCATTATATCCATTTTTTTTTATTGATTTGGAAGTGTTTTTTACAGGTGATAATTTAGGGGGGAGTTTTGCAAATATTGAGAACTAGGATACATTTTTTATATACACATGCTAAGAGCGCATGATTAAAGGCGTATAAATGTAAAAATCTCTATAATTTTGAGCTCATGGAGTAGTAATTTTTCTATAGAGTCCATTTCATGTGATGTATGAATTTTAAATTCAGATTATTTTGATACTATAAGTTAAGGGCTGTGAAATGATAATTCATGAGATCTTTTTTGTTATTATCAGAATTCATGAGATATTTTTTGTCAAGCAAATGATAAAAGTCCACTTGAATAGTTGAATCAAAATGGGGTATGATCTGAAATCATTAATGAGATCTAATTATTCAACATTATTTATGTCCACAACTTTACAAACTAGGCCTTTAATCCCCCACACACGTGTTAACCTCAGCATTAATCACGTCTCCTAAAGCCTTAATCGAGATCTAAGCAAAACCAAATCAATCTTTATTTAGCTTTTCTTTTAAATAAAATTATAATTATAATTATAATCATAATAAAACTTTTCCATCCCCCTCTCCACTTTCCCCCATTTCTTCTGACACTTGTAGCTTCAAATTTATTGGTTATTTTGTTGGTTTTTGTCTGATGCAATCAATCAATCATAAAACAAAGGCAAGTTCCAACCTTTTTGACATTGGTGTCCTCTGATCTGTCTGAGTTTATCTGGGTGTTTGTTGTTTGGATGTATTTGTTTCATTTTCCTAATTTTTTTTTTTTTTTGTTGATTCTGATATGATGTTCTTTTGTTCTCCAATTCCCCTTGGTAGAAAATGGGAAAGAATCAATCAACGAAAATATTTCGATTGCGTGATTAGTGACAAACTCTCGCAAGATGCCTTTTTTTATATATATATAAATATATAAATATGTGCATGTGTAGCCTAATGCTTGTGTCCTCTAGTCCCTCTCAGTTCTATGAGAAATTAATTGCTGGTGTGCTGTTGTTGTCGTCATTATGCTTAATCCAATCTATACAGATAAAGTTTGTTTATTTCATGAATAATAATAATGGGCAATTTTATCGTCTTCGGTCGTTGTTAATTTTATCTAGTAGGTAGGGTCTGTATGAGAATCAACTGCCAAGGTGACAGAACTTTTTTTGCCCATAATTTGGATTGGCTTTTCGACATAATGAAGAGAAAATAGCAGGTCAAAATGTATGCTCTTCTTCTCCTCACTACATCTTCAGATGATCAGCAAAGAGTGTGTAACTTAGATCTGCTCCGATTTAGAGTAAGAAATCGTCAGTTGCTACGACGAGTAGTTAAATCGCAACCCAGCAGTGAATGTGTCTCCAGATATCATTTGTTTCTGTTAATTTTGTGTGGTTGGTATGCTCTCCTAGTCGCTTTGCTGCAGCCATTGATGATCGTTGTCTTCGTTAAATACATTTCGTCATTGTTTACAACTAAGTTTCCCTTAAGAAACAGACATGTGAAGTGGAAATTTACACTTTCACATTGAACTGAGTTTTTTGGTTTCTGTAAGTAAAACATAAGCTAGGCTGGAGGTGAACCAGGACCAGAATATCCTACTATCTTAGCGTTTTCAATAGTCGTCTCGCCTTTTCACAAGAATTTATTCTCTGTATTTCATGTGACTATCAGTTTTTGTGCCAGTAATCTCTTACATAAATCTCAAGTTATATCAATTTTTGCAGGTTAAGAGGTGTCCTGTATCTTGCTTAACATCTTCGCTGTATCAAAATGGGTGGTGTACTTGGAACAAGTGGCTCAACCGAGCAGAGTGTGCTAGTGTCAAAGCTTGAAGCAAAGATGGTTGAAGCAATGCGAGAAAGGGCGTTAAAAGGGACTTCCATGAAGTCATTCAACAGCATTATTTTGAAATTTCCAAAAATCGATGAAAGCTTAAGGAAGTGCAAAACCATCTTCCAGGAATTTGGTTAGTAGTTTTCACTCATTTGCATAAATTGTATTCAGCTCTCTGTTTCGCGGGAGTTTTATCGGATAACTAACTTGGTGGAAATGAGAAAGGGAAATATGATCAGTTATGAGGAGGTCATAATTGTTATTGTATATGGCGCTGGTTTACTATCTATCTTAATTAAAAAAAATTTACCACTTGTAGTCATATGTTTGAGTTTAGTCCCCTTTCAACGAAAGTTGGTTCTTTTCAAATTTAGAATGGTTAAGAAAAGGGGAGGCGGGGTGTTAGGATATGTGAAGCCTAACTATCAAGCATGCCCTATACTTTAGAAGAGAAGAGGAACAAAGTTGGAACAGGATGAACAGGATCGACGATGGCGTAGTTCAAGCAAAACGACGAAGAAGACATTTTTCTGCATCGCGGTCGACCGAGCAGGGTGCGGCGGTCGACCGCCTATGTGCACAGCTGGGTGCACAGGCCAGAAACTCGTCGCGGTCGACCGAGCATGGCGCTGCGGTCGACCGTTCAAAGTCCAGAGAGCAACCCAGTTTTTTGGCTTCGTCGCGGTCGACCGAGCATGGCGCTGCGGTCGACCGCCAGAGAGCCAGGCAGATTTCGATCAGCATCGCGGTCGACCGGATGTGGTGCGGCGGTCGACCGGAGTCGGGTTTCGGCCCAGATTCGAATTTTAACCTGTTTTGATCTGTTTCCTGTTTTAGTTGTTAAACCCTTAAGTCTATAAAAGGGTTGATTAGGGCATGATGTAAAAAAGACTGAAAAATAGTGAATTTTTCTCCTGCGGCGGCCGTGGACGTAGTTTCTCACATTAAGAAGCGAACCACGTAAATCTTGTGTGTTTGAGATTGTTTGATTTTCTCTCTTCTCTCCTAAATCTCTATTTCCAAATCGCATCAGGGGGGTTGTGCATCCCCAACAAGTGGTATCAGAGCGACCAGGTTCGGCGCGAGCGATTTGAGGTCAGAGACAATGGGATCTGAGAAGGAAACATCCAAGATTGAGAAGTTTGATGGAACAAACTTCGGGTTCTGGAAGATGCAGATGGAGGACTACCTCTATCAGAAGGATTTATACCTACCATTGGGAGAGAAGCCGACGGATATGAAAGATGCGGATTGGAAGCTATTGGATCGAAAGGCCCTTGGAGCGATCAGGTTGACCTTGTCTAAATCAGTAGCGTTCAACATCAAGAATCAGAATACGACGGCGGATCTCATGGCGGCGTTGTCCAGTATGTATGAGCAGCCCTCTGCGGCGAATAAGGTACATCTCATTAAAAAGTTGTTTAATTTGAGGATGTCCGAGAGCCAGAAATTCAAGGAACACCTGAACGAGTTTAACGAGATCACAGATCAATTAAATTCGGTCAATATTCAGTTTGATGATGAAATCCAAGCCCTCTTGATACTTGGTCAATTGCCCGACAGTTGGAAGGGTACCGTTATCTCGATCAGCGGATCATGTGGCAAATCAAAGCTGAAGTTTTCAGAGGTGGTGGACATGATTATGACTGAGGAAATAAGAAGACAAGAGGAAGGGATTTCTAATTCAGGGTCGGCGTTGAACCTTGAGGGCAGAGGAAGAAACAGAAACAGAAATAGAGGGAGTAGCCGAGGGGCGCGGCGGTCGACCGCCTATGTGCACAGCTGGGTGCACAGGCCAGGAGCTCATCGCGGTCGACCGCATGTGGCGCTGCGGTCGACCGCTCAAAGTCCAGAGAGCAACCCAGATTTTTGGCTTCGTCGCGGTCGACCGAGCATGGCGCTGCGGTCGATCGCCAAAAGTCCAGAGAGCCAGGCAGATTTCGATCAGCATCGCGGTCGACCGGATGTGGTGCGGCGGTCGACCGGAGTCGGGTTTCGGCCCAGATTCGAATTTTAACCTGTTTTGATCTGTTTCCTGTTTTAGTTGTTAAACCCTTAAGTCTATAAAAGGGTTGATTAGGGCATGATGTAAAAAAGACTGAAAAATAGTGAATTTTTCTCCTGCGGCGGTCGTGGACGTAGTTTCTCACATTGAGAAGCGAACCACGTAAATCTTGTGTGTTTGAGATTGTTTGATTTTCTCTCTTCTCTCCTAAATCTCTATTTCCAAATCGCATCAGGGGGGTTGTGCATCCCCAACAAGTGGTATCAGAGCGACCAGGTTCGGCACGAGCGATTTGAGGTCAGAGACATGGGATCTGAGAAGGAAACATCCAAGATTGAGAAGTTTGATGGAACAAACTTCGGGTTCTGGAAGATGCAGATGGAGGACTACCTCTATCAGAAGGATTTATACCTACCATTGGGAGAGAAGCCGGCGGATATGAAAGATGCGGATTGGAAGCTATTGGATCGAAAGGCCCTTGGAGCAATCAGGTTGACCTTGTCTAAATCAGTAGCGTTCAACATCAAGAATCAGAATACGACGACGGATCTCATGGCGGCGTTGTCTAGTATGTATGAGCAACCCTCTGCGGCGAATAAGGTACATCTCATTAAAAAGTTGTTTAACTTGAGGATGTCCGAGAGCCAGAAATTCAAGGAACACCTGAACGAGTTTAATGAGATCACGGATCAACTAAACTCAGTCAATATTCAGTTTGACGATGAAATCCAAGCCATCTTGATACTTGGTCAATTGCCCGACAGTTGGAAGGGTACCGTTATCTCGATCAGCGGATCATGTGACAAATCAAAACTAAAGTTTTCAGAGGTGGTGGACATGATTATGACTGAGGAAATAAGAAGACAAGAGGAAGGGATTTCTAATTCAGGGTCGGCGTTGAATCTTGAGGGCAGAGGAAGAAACAGAAACAGAAATAGAGGGAGTAGCCGAGGAAGATCTAACTCGAGGAACGGAAGGCCAAAGTCCAGGAACCGCAAGGGCAAGAAGGAGATCGATTGTTGGAAGTATAGCAAGTTTGGCCACTATGAGAATCAGTGTCGAGAACCCAAGAAGGACAAGGAGAACAAGACTGAAGCGAACGTGGCCTCAGGAGAATCAGATGATGCCCTAATCTGTTCGTTGGAGAGCAAAACTGAATCGTGGGTGCTGGATTCAGGAGCTTCATTTAATGCTACCTCAAATAGAGATTTATTTGAGAACTATGTTTCAGAAAACCTAGGAAAGGTCTATCTTGGTGATGATCAGCCCTGTGATATCGTTGGCAAAGGAGTCGTGCAGATCAAGCTCAATAGGTCTATATGGAAGCTGAGCGATGTGAGACATGTTCCTAGTTTGAGGAAAAATTTGATTTCCATAGGACAATTGGCGAAAGAGGGATATGTAACAACCTTCGCATGTGATACGTGGAAGGTTACAAAGGGATCCATGGTTGTTGCCCGTGGTACGAAGACAGGTTCTCTCTATATGACAATAGATGCATGTGGTTCCATTGCAGTGGCTGAAAGTAAGTAAGACCTAAATTTGTGGCACCAGAGGCTAGGTCACATGAGTAGCAAAGGCCTAAAGGTTATGCAATCGAATGGGAAGTTACCAGGTTTGAGATCGACTGATATTGATTTATGTGAAAGCTGCATTCTTGGAAAACAAAAGAGAATAAGCTTCAAAAGGGTTGGCAGAACCCCTAAAGAAGAGAAGCTTGAGTTAGTTCACACAGACGTGTGGGGTCCAGCATCAATACCATCCACCGGCGGAAGGTTATACTTTGTGACCTTCATAGATGATCACTCGAGGAAGACTTGGGTCTATTTCATGAAACACAAATCAGAAGTGTTTGAAGTCTTCAAGAGATGGAAGGCTATGGTTGAGAACGAGACCGGTTTGAAGATCAAGAAGCTTCGTTCTGACAACGGCGGCGAGTATGAAGACTCAGAGTTCAAGAAGTTCTGTTATGACAGCGGCATTAGATTAGAGAGGACAGTGCCAGGTACACCCCAGCAGAATGGCATAGCAGAACGGATGAACAGAACGTTGACTGAGAGAGCTAGAAGTATACGGTTACAAGCAGGTTTTCCAAAGCAATTCTGGGCAGAAGCAGTCAACACAGCTGCCTACTTGATCAACCGGGGGCCATCAGTGCCTTTGGAGCACAAAATACCTGAAGAAGTATGGAGTGGAAAGCAGGTAAACCTTTCTCACCTGAGAGTATTTGGTTGTGTTTCTTATGTTCATCTGAGTGATCATGCAAAAAACAAACTTGATCCTAAGTATCTGAAATGTTTCTTTGTTGGCTATGGCGGTGATGAGTTTGGCTACAATTTCTGGGATGAGCAAAACAAGAAAATCATCAGAAGCAGGGATGTGGTCTTTAATGAAACAGTCCTCTATAAAGACCGTGATGTCGTTCAGTCCACTAGTTCGACACAGCGAGATCCTACATACTTCGAGTCAGAAGATGCCTCAGATGGAGGCAATCCCGAAGCTAGTTCTGATGAAGAAGAAGAGTTGATGGATGAGACTACTTCAGAGGGGGCAGATAAAGATGGAGAGCCTGTTTCGCCCGTCAGAGAGTTGAGGCGGTCAGCTAGAGTCCCCAAGCCTAATCCGAAGTACCCATCACTACAGCCCAGAGCTCATCTTATCTACATATTATTGAGTGACGGTGTAGAGCCAGAAAGTTATGATGAGGCCCTTCGAGTGGATGATGCAAGCAAGTGGGAGCTCGTCATGAAAGATGAAATAAAATCCTTGAACACCAACAAGACATGGGAACTTGCGAAGCTACCAACGGGGAAAAAGGCCTTGAGCAATAAATGGGTGTACAGAATCAAAGAGGAACATGGTGGTTCCAAGAGATACAAGGCCAAATTTGTGGTTAAAGGATTTCAGCAGAGAGAATGAGTTGATTACACAGAGATCTTCTCTCCAGTAGTCAAACTAACTACCATCAGAACAGTCCTGAGTATTGTTGCAGCTGAAGATCTACATCTCGAGCAGCTAGATGTAAAGACAGCTTTTCTCTACGGTGATCTAGAGGAAGAGATATATATGCAGCAGCCAGAGGGGTTTACTCAGAAGGGAAAAGAGAAGATGGTATGCAGATTGAAGAAGAGCTTGTACGGCCTAAAACAAGCTCCAAGGCAATGGTACAAAAAGTTTGATGGATTCATGCACAGGAATGGTTACTCCAGGTGCAATGCTGATCAATGTTGCTTTGTCAAGGAGTTTGACAACAGTTACATCATCCTGCTTTTATATGTCGACGACATGCTAGTAGCCGGTTCAGATATGACAGAGATCAAGAAGCTGAAGAAGCAACTGTCGAGTGAGTTCGACATGAAGGATCTAGGCGCAGCGAAGCAGATATTGGGAATGAAGATCAGTAGAGATAAACTCTTGGGCACACTGCGGCTATCTCAGTCCGAGTACATTAGACGGGTGCTTGAGAGATTCGGGATGAGTGGTGCTAAGGCCGTTAGCACACTGTTAGCTAGTCACTTCAAACTGACTAAGGAGCAGTGTCCTGAGACTGATGAAGAGAAAGAATACATGGCTAATGTTCCATATGCTTCAGCCATTGGAAGCCTTATGTACGCCATGGTATGCACGAGACCCGACATTGCTCATGCAGTGGGAGCTGTGAGCAGATTTATGTCAGATCCAGGAGAGCAGCACTGGGAAGCAGTAAAGTGGATTCTGAGATACCTGCGAGGTACTATAGAAGATTGCTTATGCTTCAGGAGAGGCAAGTTAGTCCTGCAGGGTTTTGTTGATGCAGACTATGCTGGTGAGATAGACCAGAGAAGAAGCACTACAGGATACGTATTCACTTTGGGCTCTACAGCTATTAGTTGGATTTCTCAGTTGCAGAAGATCGTTGCTTTATCAACGACAGAGGCTGAATATGTTGCTGTGACAGAGGCAAGCAAGGAGATGATATGGTTGCAGGGTTTCTTGGAGGAGCTGGGACAGAAGAGTGAGAAGAGTGTCTTACATTGTGATAGCCAGAGCGTAATTTATTTGGCGAAGAATCCTGCTTTTCATGCAAGGACCAAACACATACAGGTCCGCTACCACTTCATAAGATCAGCGTTGGACGAGGACATGTTGGAACTTGTGAAGATTCAAGGAAGCAAGAACCCAGCTGATATGCTTACCAAGGTTGTCACTACAGAGAAACTGAAGTTGTGCTCAACTTCAGTTGGCCTCAACACTTGATGATACGGAGGCCGTCGCCGCCGAGAGAGCTGAAAGAGATTGATAGTTAGTCTCCAAGTGGGAGATTGTTAGGATATGTGAAGCCTAACTATCAAGCATGCCCTATACTTCAGAAGAGAGGAGGAACAAAGTTGGAACAGGAGGAACATGATCGACGATGGAGAAGTTCAAGCAAAAACGACGAAGGAGACAGTTTTCTGCATCGCGGTCGACCGGCCATGGCGCGGCGGTCGACCGACGTCGTGCACAAGCTCGTTGCGGTCGACCGAGCATGGCGCTGCGGTCGACCGCTCAAAGTCCAGAGAGCAACCCAGTTTTTTGGCTTCGTCGCGGTCGACCGAGCATGGCGCTGCGGTCGATCGCCAAAAGTCCAGAGAGCCAGGCAGATTTCGATCAGCATCGCGGTCGATCGGATGTGGTGCGGCGGTTGACCGGAGTCGGGTTTCGGCCCAGATTCGAATTTTAACCTGTTTTAATCTGTTTCCTGTTTTAGTTGTTAAACCCTTAAGTCTATAAAAGGGTTGATTAGGGCATGATGTAAAAAGATCTGTTTCCTGTTTTAGTTGTTAAACCCTTAAGTCTATAAAAGGGTTGATTAGGGCATGATGTAAAAAAGACTGAAAAATAGTGAATTTTTCTCCTGCGGCGGCCGTGGACGTAGTTTCTCACATTGAGAAGCGAACCACGTAAATCTTGTGTGTTTGAGATTGTTTGATTTTCTCTCTTCTCTCCTAAATCTCTATTTCCAGATCGCATCAGGGGGATTGTGCATCCCCAACAGGGGGGTTCTAATGTCTCTAGAATCTACTTGCATTTATGCAAACATTATCAAGCAAGTAGAACTTTGCTCTCCTGATAACCATTATGAGAACTTCATGGTGGATCATCCTTGGACGGATCATGATCCAAATGGATGGTGCTTATAATTATTTCTGATATTTGCCCCTTAAAACATATCTCGACTGAAAATTAAGGGGTCTTGTGAAGTCCTCTTGTTAATTTATAATTGGTAGCGGTTATTTACAATTTTAAATTATATCCGATGGATCTTTTTCGCTTAATTAAGTTGCAGCTTTTCTGTTCACTTTTTAACAGCAAACTAATTTCTTTAACATCCCTACAGATGAAGATTCCAATGGCACAATAGATAAACAAGAATTGCATCATTGTTTCAAGAAACTGGAGATCAATTTTTCAGAAGACGAGACAGATGATCTCTTTGAAGCGTGCGATATGAATGAAGATATGGGAATAAATTTTAATGAGTTCATTGTTCTTATTTGCCTCGTTTATCTCCTCAAGGAACCGAGTGCTGCTCAAGAAGTATCCTTAACAATACTAATTGAATTGCACAGTTGTTACTTGATAAGCTGATGGAGCATAATAATTTTGGGATACAACTTGGTGTAATTGAGTTGTGAAACATGCTACATATCATTTTAGGAAATTTCTTGGAAATAATATATTTTCCATAAAGGATCTGCTTTGTATGAATAACACCCATTGAAATTTTTTTTTCAAGTGTGTAGGCCATTTCCGTAGTTTTTCCCCCCAGGTGTGATGGCATTTTTAGCTTTCTAAAAATGTGACTCTTAAACCAAAAGGAGGGCACCTCTTAAATACATAAAAAAGACTAATTTTCGTTTTCTGATATGATTTTTTGTTTATTTGCTTAATTTTGGTTCCACTGGGCTATAGTTGCAATCTGCTATGAATATTTTGCAGGCAACTGTGACTGTGTATTATTCCTTGACCAGATTGATAGAAATATCAGATGGGGTTTCCAGATCTTCAAGCAACATTCGAGACTTTGGTTAATACTTTTGTATTCTTGGACAAGAACAGGGATGGATATGTTAGCAGGACCGAGATGGTACAAGCTATTAATGAGACTACAACAGGTGAACGGTCTTCTGGACGCATAGCCATGAAAAGATTTGGTTAGTTCTCCTCTCTCTTCCTCCTCGTGCATCAATATACGTGCATGCATACATATCTTTAGAGCATACTTGCATCCAAATATCTTAGATGTTAATGGATTGTGAAATATTTAGCTTCTAATGAATTGTTAAGAGAGGTTTGAATCATTGTAAAATTCTGCATTCATATAAATGATCAACATTCAGTGATTGAATTTGCCTAACAGTCACTGTTTGTTCTCCTGTCTCTTCCTCGTGCATCACTATTTGTGCATGCATACGTATCCTTAGAGCATACTTGTATATTTAAGATTTTAATGGGTTGTGATGGATTTAGGTTATAATGAATTGTTGAGGTTAGTTTGAGCTGTGGTAATATTCTGAATTCATGTAAATTATCGACATTCAACAATTGAATTTGACTGACAAATGACTATTAGTTCTCCTCTATTCCTCGTTCGTCAGTATCCGTACATGCATACATATCTTTAGAGCATACTTGGACTATTAGTTCTCCTCTATTCCTCGTTCGTCACAATTGAATTTGACTGACGAATGACTATTATGTTTAGATTTTAATGGATCCTGAAGGATTTAGCCTATGTTGAATTGTCAACATTAGTTTGAGCCGATAGAATATTCTTCATTCATAGAAATTACGGACATTCAGCTACCGAATCTGACTAACAGTCTACTGTTTTTTTGGCTTTTAACAGAAGAGATGGACTGGGATAAAAATGGAACAGTCACCTTCAAGGAGTTTCTGTTTGCTTTTACTCGTTGGGTGGGGATCGACGAAAATGAAGACGACGATGAAGATGAAGAATGAGTTCATTGAGTTCTTATGTCCTTTTTTTTGGCTTTACAAACTTTTTTGAACTTTGGCCCTTCGAAGTATAAAGAGTTAGCCACGTATGACATTCCCGTGACGATATTTGCGTCTTTATTTCTCTCTAACCGCAATTTTGATATTTGGGGGGGTATATGTCATGTAAATAGATCAAGAAAGCTGAGACTTCTTATGCTAGCTTACGAAGAACCAGAGAATCTCAATGTCAGCGTTAGTACCTCTGTGATTCCCTTTATTCTCTCTCTTAGAGGTGTATTGCTTTTGGCTTGAATTTATGAATGTTTGAGAAAAAACATGAGAGAGGCATTGTGATCAGAAGGCACTAATTCATGATGGTGATTGAATCTTTCCTATTTTGCATCATTTTGTTGGTTTTGATCCATATATGTCATATGCTCTTATGCCCATTCTGGCATCTGTTTGGGACTAAAGTTTTTGTTATTGCCATTTTTGTCAGTTAATATGATAATTTGTGCATTTTTCATATTATCAGATTCCCACTGAAAAAAGAGTTAATTGTGGATATAGTCCCTGTGTTATCACCCCCAGTTGCGGCTGGACCTCCTGTGGTTGTCAAAGGAATTCACTTAGGGGGTCTATCCGCAATTGGGTGATAGTACCGGGTGTCTATCGGCAACAATGGAACTACAGAGGGGTCTGTCCACAATTGGGCAATAGTGTAGGGGGTCTATCAGCAATTAATCCTTGGAAAAAAAATAAGATATTGCGAATTCAGAGTTCAAGCATAGAAAAGCTTGGTAGAAGACATTTGCTGATCTATTGCATTTGTATCTGTACTTAATTTTTTTCGAGTATTGGGTTAACAGGGTATTTTGTTTTTGTTGGAAGACAAATAGAAACTTTCATTTATTCAGTCTATATATCATAGATCAGAATAATCATATTATGAATTTAGTGAACATATCATAACGCTGAATGCATGAATGAGAGTGATTCATAGAGGTGAGTACATTACAATCAACAATTCTTTTAGTTGCTGAGCTTCAACCATCAAGACCAGGTTTACACTGCTCAAAGTCCACTGAATGTTAAAATCTGCAATGAAGATGCTCTTAAAATCATAATCATGTTACAACACAGTAATCCTCCTAACAAAATAAGTGACATTCTACAAACATCAACTGCTTATCAATCATAAATCTTAATTTAAATAGAACAAGTGTCTTCTCTAAGCACAAGTCATACATTACTTCATGCAAATAATCAATCATCATAGTAACAAATGCTTATAAATGATAGACCTCATAGTTTTACTAGACTTCATGCAAATAATCTATTTACATTTAAATGTTACGATAAAGACTCTTAAAAATCTTAATCATGTTAAAACACATTGATCCTCCTAACAAATAAGTAACATTCAGCGGGCGTTAAATGCTTATCAATTATACAACTCTAAATAAAACAAGCATTTCCCCTAAGCGTAACATTGCTCAAATGCTATAATCAATTATCATAGCATCAAAGGCTTATAAAATTATACATCTCATAGTTTTACTGAACTTCAACCATCAAGGCCAAGTTCACATTGCTCAAGTTCACCGAATATTAAAATGCTACAATAAAGACACTCTTAAAATCTTAATCATGTTACAACACATTGATGCTCCTAACAATGGTTAACATTTTACAAGCATCAAATGCTTATAAATTATACATCTCTAAACAGAACAAGCATCTCCTCTAAGCATAAGTCATAATCAATCATCATAGGAAGGTTGCTGGAAATCCGAGCCAGAGCTTGACTCAAGTATATGATGTCCAAGAACCAAATCGCCCTTTCCATTGCTCCGCTGCCTCTTTATAGGTCTTTCATGCATTGTGCTCTCACATGATGAGCCATTTCTAGCAGTAGAATCTGGAGTTAATGGCTCATGATGAGATGTGAAGGATTCATTCTTGAAGATGGCAGTAGCAGAAGTGGGTTTTTCTTGGATGGGAGATTCGGAGATTGGGGCGGGAGTCGAGGGGTCAGATATTGGGGCGGGAGTGGTGTTTCTGTCAGGAGTTTCAGTGAGAGTGCCACTTAGACGCTGTTGTTCTTCGATGATTTTCTTGAGGTACTTGCCTTGAGCTTCTATTCTTAGTTGCAGCTGTCTTTGGACCTGTTTGAAATTTTTTGAGGTAGAGCTATGTCAGAATGCATGTAAGAGATAATAAAAACAAAGGGTTAAATGATGATACACCTCATGTACTTTGGCGGTGTAGTCACTTGTACAGTTATACCCCTAACTTTGTTATTAGCTTTAAGAAAGCAATTTGGGGATGTTTGGGGGGCCTAATTTTTAGTCTAAGTAGCTTGTTTTTCCACTTAAGCTAATTGAACAAGTATAAAGCTTTCAATATCCACTTCTTTCATATCCTAAAATTGAAATTTTTAAGTATCTTTGGAAGCCTGGTTTCTTAGCAAAATCTTTCTTCTCGCTTGTTTGGATCTTCCAGTGACCCGATTTTTCAAATTAATTACTCCAAGATGTTTGACCTACTCACTGCTCAATTTGTGGATGTCCAAAATAACATCTCCTATTCTAATAAGTTTTATTTCATTTCTACTAGCCTCTTCAAACATGCAGATTAACATACCCAACTTCCACGCTATCTTCATGCGACTTCTGTATTAATGCAGTTGAACTTTGCACTTTATTGAAATTTCAATGTGGAACACAAAGAAGCTTTGTTTTCTTCATTTACTTAGGCTAATTGTTAAACGATCCATACAAAGATATGTTGGGATAGCTAATTACTGCTTTATTTGATAAGATTGACCATGAGGCTTAACTATTAATAAAATGTAAAAGAAACATAAATCAAATAGAAACTTGCCTCCAGTTGTTCCTGCAGTCTCTTTTGCACCTCCATCTGCAGTTTCAATGCTTCAGTTATTTGCATCCCCCTACACAGAAAAGAAATAGTAGTATACTAGTATGCAATGTCGCCGTAACTCATCACGAAATAAGAATATGTGAGAAAGTGAGAGCGAGAGAGAGCGAGAGAGAGACAGAGAGAGAGATCAGAAAGTGCTTCCCCACTTAATTCCTGTACCAAATTGTTCCGTAAACTTTAAACCGTTAGTTGACTTGATTGCATAATACATGTGGATAACCCCGTCTTTCAGTTAATTTCATGTATATGATAAAACAATCTATTGTCTGCACAAAATACAAATTAAACTAGTTTCTCAAACAAAATAAACATCTTGTGTGTGTGTGACCATCTAGGCCTCATATGCTTGTTCTTTGTCATTTCAACCCTGTAATGTGACCTTGCATGCATGGGGCTAGTGGTCCAGATTGATTTTGTCAACTTCATAGTTTGGTTGTTTTTGCTTATGTGGGGTCAAAGTATCGCATCCTATAAGTCATGAGTTTGAATCCTTCCCATTATTTCTTTTCCCCCCTCAAAATTAACTTTTTTGTCAACAGCTTCATATCCTAGAAAGTTGGTAGTAGTTTAGTGGTGGTGGCGATGAAATGATGGATAAAATCAGAAACAACTAAATAATATAACGTCGCTAGTAGTATCAATACCGATCTATTATAAACGTAAATAAGAGAAAATCAAAACGTTCAATATTCTGTTGAAATTAGTTGGGTTCAAAAAATCCCAGACCATAAACCTAAACAATTTGCCATCACATAACGATGAAATGTGAAATACTAAACAAGATTATTTTGGTGTAGCAACAAGTGGTGCCTATTTAGAAAGCTTGGTAGCAACTTAGATCTATTCAGCATGACGCGTAACGCTTAGGTTAGGTTTTATGTAATTACATTTTTAGTCTTTGGTGGTCTAAGTTTGGAGTTATAATATAACGAGTGTGAAAATACAGACTTTTTTTTTTACTTTCCACACTCTCAAGTTTACTTCCGAAGTGCTTATTTGTATCAAAAAATGCACTCAAATATATCATACTTACGAGGAGTTTTCAATTCCAGAAATCATGTCTCCAGGATCTTTCTTTTCACCTTTTGAACCTAAAATGATGGCACAACAATCACGATTCATCAAAGGACGGGTTATGCTATAGCTTTGGGTACAAAGAAATATGCTTCAGAATCTACAAGGAAATGCCAGATGAGTTTCTAATCATAAAGTACTGAAACAATTACCATCGGACGAAGACTCTGGTATGTATTTTGCAAGACGATATTTCTAGAAACACCATAGAGATAGACTTAGATAATTAAATGAAAAGCAAGATTAACGAAATGATGAAGGAGAAAGACAAGAGATAGGAAGCCGGTACCTGCAAGTGACTCTTGACATGGTATATAGTTAATCCTTGCACACCCATGACTCTGAGGACGCCTTTAGGTGTAGCTCCTGTATCATGGGAACATTTTTTTAATTAGTGATAATGTGAAAGCCAAATGAAGCAGAATATGCCACTGTGTATATTTTGGACACCATATTTCCTTTTTATAAACAAACTATAAGCAAGGTAAATGCTAGGCACATGTTACCTAGTCAAGATTATATAGGCTGTAACTTGGAACTAAAAATATCTATCTCTATACTTGATAAAATTTGGCTTAATAAAAGGATTACAGTAGGAGTTTCCAGTTGAAATGAGAAAATTAAATACATGCAGGAAGCAAATTGCTGACAAAGCACCTTCCCAACTAAAAAGGCTATAAACATTTTCACTATCCTCTGCATAAAGTTAATTAGATATATTAGGAAAATTTTAAGTAGAATTCAAATTTGATAACACAGTTTACATTCTTACATAAAAATAAGCTTCAATAACTGCATCTTGTCTTGAAGATAATGACAGATGACAATTTGGTATGGGAGACTACCCTCAATGGATTTGAGTGAAAAGAAAGGATTCATTTAGCCTAATAAGAACTTTAAGGAGTCATTTAGCCCAATAAGAACTTTGGCATAAAGGATTTCAGTGCATCTTTACCTCTTATAGGAAAGTACGTTAAGTGATAGGAATAGCAACGGTCACGAGCTTTGTTCTATGATTGGGGTTTTCAGCTTAATCAAATTCCTTACATAATAAAAACTATACTAGGCAAACATGTATTGTCAATAATTCTTTTTTTTTTTTTGAGGAAAAGGATGGGGTCTCAAAAATGATAAACCCAGCCTGTTAGCATTATTGTCAATAATTCTATCCTCGGAAAAAAGTATAATATGGAAAGGATTATTACACTGGCGACTTTTTTACCTGAAAATTTATAGATAAATCACTTAACACATAATCATGATATCTTAAACATCAATTTTAAACAGTAAGGTCGAAACAGGATATACTCACTGTCTGGTCCACCAAGCTGAGTCACAGCATCAACAAACCGTTCATGAAGCTCATGTGTCCACCTCAAGCGCTGCCTCGATGCCATATTAGGGTTATTGGTGTTGGGGGACCCACTGTTAGGACTCATCATGTTGTCACTCAGTTCTAATTGTGAGTCCCGAGCAAGTGAATTTCCGTGATTCGGGCCTAGACTGGAAACAGGTTTTGGTTGATACATTTTTCATTATCTGTGCAAAGAAAGGGTTAATAGTATCAGTTGTGCATTAGAATGAGCTATGGTCTTGCAGGTCATGTATGATTAAAAATATAAATCCCATCCAACAAAGAAAATAACAAAAGTATGACTCATTCAGTTTCACCCGTGCTTAACAACTAACTTGAGGCTTTATGTAAGCGTCCATCCAGCAAAGAAAATAACAAAAGTACTGCTCATTCAGTTTCACTCGCAGTTAACAACTAACTTCAGGCTTTATGTGAACGTGTTAGCCATGTTTGTTGTTATTCATTAGGTACAATACAAAGGGAAATTAATTTATGAAGCGAGTCATGTGGAACCCAGATTCTACAACCCTTGGAATGGGGCACTTAGAGCTCAATTAAGCCTCAACACTTCCTGTCACCTTTTTTTGAATTTTAATTCTCTTCACTATTGACTACCTGTTACCACTTCACCCTCAACTCAATGTAGCAACAGGTAAGCCTCTCCTCTTTCTTGATCGGTCGCTGCCTCTCGCTCGACTGCTTTTAAGTGTTGTACTCTTCCTTAGCCTCTTATAACCGCCACCCCCCCCCCCCCCCCGCAACATATATATTTACATGGTCTGACATTTTCATATGTGTAGATTTTATTTGGGCATATATGATATGTATAAATTATCCAATATGACACTCAGATGTCTACTAAATATCCTTGATATCTGTCATCTGATATGGAATTTGTTGTCCGACATGACCTCTGACAATCAAAATACTAATGAATTGAAAGTCACACATTTTAGCTCCAATTGCCACGCAAGGATTAAAGGAATGTATGATTTTTAGCTTTTAGACAGTTAAATAATTTTGGTGTTAAGGTATGAATCATCATCTAATCATCCCTGGTTTGAGTTGTATAGTAGCCAGTCTTCAAATGATAGAGACAATCTCGAAGCCAAGTGATAGGATCTCAAGGATTTTCCAAAGTAGAAGAACATTCAAGCGAGTATGTAGGCAGAATTACTAAAGCACTTGACTGAGCCCCTGAAAGATTTGTGGATGCACAACTGGTAAGGATTTCGGATTGAGGGAAAGCACAACTCCAAGGAAAGGTTAAGAAGTTACACAAACAGTTTAGTATAATCACCCAACCATCAATAGTAATGTCTCTTTAATGATAATGACTGTCCATGTCTATTTAATGATAATCAATATTGATGTCTCTTTAGTGACAATTGACTAGTCTTTTTATTATTAAACAATGAAGAGATACCATCATCTCATCATCAAAAAGTTGATGATAAATGATAATTCACAAAGACTACAACTGATTCAGGTTGAGCTCATTCCTAAGCTTTGGAATCAATTGTCACAAGTTTGAAACATTGGCAAAATTTGGAGAACAAATTTTCTTGCAGTTCGTGATTTCCATATCCATCCAATGCGAAGAATGAATGCATATTGAACATTTTGAGTTTTCTTTTAATACTAAAAAGAAGAATGCACTTTATCTCCAGCTCCTTCCATAATTCATATTTGCATACATATGTAAGCTCCACAACTTGAATAGCACCCCTCGTCTCCTCTAACCATGTCTTTCTCCTATTTCCCCATTGCTAATTATATAGCACTGTCTGTATATTGTCATGGCCAAAGACATGAAAGGGAATCACCAGGTTATGGAAAGCGCAGATAGAAGAATTTATAAATGCAAGTTTTGGAGTACAAAATATGAACAGCCGAAGGAACAATTACATATTTCCATCTTAAAAGCATTCTGCATTATCTCTCAGTTGTAGGACTTGTTGCTGAACGTACAAGATATCTAGAAGGAAAAAAATATATGTTATTAAGATAGATACTAAAATTGTCTGCCTATAACTTCGAAAGACCTTATTGTACCAATTTGTAAAACCAGTGCTCTTTTCACATGGTCGATTTACTTCAGAAAGAAAATAATAATGTGGGTATTTGAAGAGTTGAAGAGAATTGAATTAAGTGCATAACTTCATGCAAACCCCTAGACAGAGAAAGGAAGATCCAATTATGAAGGCTTACAGACACTTCTTTCCAGTCCTGAAGCACACATGTAATTAAGAAGCCAAAGATGCAAAAAATGTATGTACGCAAGATAAGTAGTCCAGAAGCCAATACCTCATTGTGGAAGAAACTTTGTAATGGCCAATCTAACAAATTATATATCCTTTATCTTTAAGTTTGATAAATCGCAGACTATAAGTATGGCAAGCAAGAATATGAATCGGAAGCTGAAACTACCCATTATGAAGGATCAGATGTATCATCTTTAAACCTTAATCTTCGTGACAAACTTCAGGAATCAGCTCCTCAAGAGTGTGAAAACTAATCTTGGACTCCTTGTTGGGGAACATCATGATTTATATAGAGGTATTGTTTGTGGCTAAACTAGGGATATATGTGAACTGTGTATAATCAAATGATGTAAATTGCTAGTAGAATCAACGCATAAGTCAAAACTCAAAACTCAAATGCATGTGATGGTTTTTGTAACTCTAGTTTTAGCTTGTACAATCTCAAGCACCATATGTTGTGCTTTTGATGAAATAAGTTACAAAGTGTGCTCTCAAAATTTGGGCCATGCCTCCTCTATGGCCATTTCACATGGAACTTCAATAAATGCTCTTGGTCCTGCCACGCTCTTAACAATTGACAGTTTATGTCCATGTGATCTATTAAATCTCTCTGCACATCTAGAATATTATATACCACAGATTCACTCAATGTGTCCTTTTGAATATATATACACTCAACTCCAACCCACTTGATCTAATAACCAAATTGCCAGCAATTACTTTAGGACTAACCAAACAATGACTAATCCAATGGCTCATCCTGAAATATTCAAGGTTAACCCTGATGAAGAAAATCTGAGCTAGCCCCATTTTATATGCAAAAACTTCAAGAACTGGGTGCTGGAAACTATACATCAAAAATGAAATTCAATAACAGAAGCTGGATCAGTAAGCATCCATTTATTGCACCGCACTCAGAGACACAAAGAACAGCTCAGCCCACTGATTGTGAAAGCTTGAAGGCTTTTGCTATCCATTAGTAGAACCAGAGAACTACAAGTGACTGCAATTAAAATGGTAAAGCTAAAGGAGTAACTATCAATCTAATTAGAACTCCACAGAACAAATTTAACCACAAATATCACCATCTACAGTAATCCCTTAGCTTAGCTTACCATTCAAGGGGGGGAAAAAGTGACATGGGTAAGTCTTAAAGAAAGCCCTAGATGAAGATCAGCTCTGTAACAGCTCAGAGTTGTATTATTCATTAATGGTAAATATATCAAAATGTCATCTAATCGCACTGTAGTTTTCGTGGACAAAGAAATCCAAACAATGCGTCAGAAATTTCTTAAAAAACCCATCAAAATAATGCTAAAACAACAAAAAAAACCTTCTAAAATCGTAGAAATTTTACGAAATTTGAACTAAAAAGAGATTAACAGAATAAATGGAGAGATACCCAGATCGCAAAATCACAAATTTTCCCCGAAACCGCTTTGGGGACAAGGATTCGCTGAGGTCCACTGAGATGGGTAGCTGATTTGACTGTTAAAAGGCAAGGGAAAAAAACCTGCAAAATTCAATTTTTTTTTTCAGTTTAAAAAAAAAGAAATTGGAATTACTGTAACTATTTTGGTTTATTACCTACAGATATTCGTCGGATCGCACGCGCAGCGCCCAATCAGAGAGCTTCGTGTCTCCGTTACTCAATAGAGAGAGAAAGGATAGAGGAGAGAGAAAATGCTTTTCAGGTATCGGTACGTTGCGATTTTTATATTTTTAAATGGGTCCCTCATATCATCTAAATTGCTATTTAGTCCCCTATTCATGAGAGTTACGCCTCTACATCAAAACTACAACGCTCAAGTATCATATCAAAAATCTATAATATTACATTAAATCAAAGCTCAGAAATTATAGTAAAGATTAAAAATTATAATATTATAGTCTAATAGATGTAAACTTAAAAGACAAAATTAAAGTTTAATGAAACATTTGCTCAAATCCACAAAGCATTTACAGTAATAACTTATATATATTTCTATAGGTAAAGGGTTGTTGGTATGTTTTCATGAGATTGAGCATTTATGACACCAGTCGGGAAATGTGCATCCGCCCAGCATTGACGCTACAAGGATATCTAACTCAAATAGTTTGTCTTAGTTTAGGAAATGGTTTTGGGTTTGTCGAAATGGGTGTATTTTCACTACAAGTCAACCAATTTCCCTTGTTTGCTAACTCAACCATAACCAAATAACCCTTAAATTCACCAGAATCCAGAACAAATTTAGTGTCTTATACGATGAATTGGGTGACCAAATACCAATTTCAATAATATGAAGGACAAATATAAAAACAGGACAATTATTCAAAGATGCCGACGGGTAGGAGATTTGAGCTGCCCAAAGTGCCCGGAATCAAATCCTGACGGCCGTTCTGGCCTAATATTCCGTTACTGTTAGAAACAGGACGGAATTTTTACCGAACGTTTCCGAAAAGTTCGGCAAAAAGTCGGCGTAAACTAACTTTACATGAACAAACTACGCTCTCGCTTTTGATATTTTTCTGGCTAATAATGGGAACCGTAAGTTGAGTAAAGTTAATTTTGACTTGAATCTCACATTTTAGAGGGGTTGGTTTCATTGTTAGTCAAGTTATATTTTTAGATCCAATAATCATAATACAAGATTGTTTTTTTCTTCAAAAATGTATCCTATTTCAAGATATACTATTGATTATTGTTTATGTCCGCAAGTTAATTTATGGATAGAGTGATATTAAAGAAGATTAGGGTTTCTCGTTCAGAGATTTTTTTTTTAAAGGTCATTTTGTTAAATAAGCAAAATCGATTTTTTTTTAATAAAAATATTTAGCAAAATCGATCTCTATTTAGTGACGTCATCTTAACTGGCCAAAAAGATGTTGGTTTTGTTAAATATCAACTCTAAAATACATGGGCCTAGTAGTCTCATGTAATTAGTGGTCACTAATTATGATTAATCTGAAATTGTAGTCCTATATACTTTGTGTTAAAATGGTTAAGGATTAATTAACGAGAACTATTTACATGTTTCTACTTGTCCCATGTATTTTAAAGTTAATATTTTGTAAAATATGCCTCTTTTTGGTTGGAGGTCGATTTTTCTAATATTTTTACAAGAGGGTCAATTTTGTTAATTATTTTTTGAAAAGGTTTTATTTTCGAATTCTCCTTTCTCAATCTCCTCTGATGACTTATAAATTGGAAGAAGCAGATTCTTGTGCAAGTATCACATTTGAGGCTCCGGAGGATATTTCCTCTAGCGTGCCTTAGTGACTGATAAACTCAGTGTGAAGAGAAATGTAGGATTCAATTTAGAGTTGAGATAGATCAGACCTTAAAATGGTGAAGGGGGCCTCTATTTATAGGAAAGAGCCCAACCCGTAGAATTAACATGTTACTTCCACTATACACATATTAACAGTCTGTTAGCCGAGCATGAGAGGCTGCCCACACTACATTTAATGTGATAGAGGCAGCACGATAAAGTATGGACGACGACTGAGGAGCCATTATTACAATATGATCATGCATTTAATGCGATGGCGACTAGGTAGCGGTCTGGCAGGGTTATGGGCGTCATCTGAGGAGTCATCATAACACCTAACCATACATTTAATGCAGGTAGTGCTGACGAGGCAGTCAAACATTTTCTTCCTTGCATCTAGACTAATACTCTCTGCCAGAGTCCAATCTGACTAGGACTATTGGAGAGGCCAACTTGATTGGTCGAGCAATGTTATATTTGGGTGGGAACCTTTTGTTATATGATCTGACTCATTCGACTGACATGTGGCCAAATTTTAGGGTTTATTAAACTTGTGATTTTTAGGATGTAACAATTGTTATGTAAAATTGATTATAAGTCAAAAAAACATTTTACGGATTAGGACATTGTAGAATTAAGAAATAATAACATGTGCAAAGGTGAATGTAGCATAAATAAGAATGTTCCAGGAGATTTGTTGATATACACGTAAAAGATAGTGCAAGAAAAACGTGCATTTTGAGTATAAAATAAGGAATCAATTAAGCTGGTTTAGTCACACGCAATAAAAGTTACTAATTGCACAAGTTAAACATAATTTAACAGAGCAAATACGTTTAGAGGTAGGTGTGGAAAAAGTTTAATCTAAAAGATTTTTTTAAAATATGATAATAAATACTTTAGTATAGAAGATAGCTTTTAATAAAACAGAATGGAAGAATATAATTCATATAAATAAATTAAAAGTAAATATTAAAAAAATTCTCATGACCATTGTTTGTTGAAGAAAAAGATACACAGCATGTAAAAGAAAAAGATAAATAAATTAGGTTATTTTTATTTTGAGTATTTACAAATGTATTGGGAATAAAGAACCCACGATTATAAAAACAAAGAAACCACCCCCACCTTTTCAAAAAAACAAAAAGAAAGAAAGAAACCATCCCTAACCCTACGCTATTTTCCCAAGTTGACGCAAACCCAACGCCAATTCACCATCCAACCGAGCGCTAAACCTTGCGCTATTTTGATGATGTGCTACAGTGTTACGCCAAGAATAGTGCAACATTGTAGCTTTAGAGTTTTTTTTTCCAATTTTACCGTTAAACTATGTAATAACAAATTAAAAATAGCTATTGTATCCTATTATATCATTCATTAACCTTAGTTTATTCATTTATTTTTTTAACTTTTATAATAAAATTATAGTATAAAATAATTATTTAAATAAAATTCAAAAAGAAAAAATAGATAATTTAATTCAAACACTTAAAATTTGGAAATACTAAATGAAAATATAAATCAAATTTACATTTAGATAAAAATAATACAACATTAAATTAGGACATAAAAAAACTTACACATTATTATAATTAATTATATGTAATGTATTATATAATTATATAATTTGTTAAATGTTTTAAATAGATAAAAATGTTAAAAGATAAGAATAATAAAAGAAATATTCTTTTTGGTGTAAATTTTGTGTAATGGGTTGAAGATGAAATAGTGATTTGATATAAAAACTACACCAACTTGATGTAAAAACTACACCATTTTTAGTTGGAGATGCTCTTAAGTGATCGTGCAGTGATAAGACACATTGAAGGATTCCCCACAATTCAAGCTTCATGGACATGGTGAATGGCAGAGATTTAGGCCGACAACGTAAACATTTGCATGGTTTCAAAAAGTTTGAAATGTCTGATCACAACAAATGTTTCCACTTTTTCAACAGAAAGGAGGAAATAAACATTAAATTCCCAACAAATGCCACGAAAAAGCAAATAACACAAACAAGAATCTTGTTTGGTAGAAGGGAGCATAACTAAGGCAGAATCTTGTTTGGCTGAAGATAGTACATACATACATAACCAATGACAAAGCCACCGCATAACCAATTTCATGTGAGGAACTCTCATCACAAGAAAAATACTACCCAACTTTCCTTTTTTAGTACAGGGATAAGGTTATGACAAATAGGGGGGGGGGGGGCGGGGGGGGGGGGGGTTCAATATGCACATGGACCCTCTGTAATATCATTGTTTGCACTTGCTACCCCCGCACCTGCAGGCGGTCGATAGACCCAACCAGAGCTGGCTAGGGGGTCACAAAAAACTTTAAGCTAGAGCTGACTAGGGGGTCTAGCTGCAGCAGTGAAACTACAAGGGTCAGTAGGTGCAAGACAGCAACACTACAGGGGGTCTATGTGCAATTAACCCGACAAAAAAAATTATGTAAGCTTCCTTTTTAGTTCAGGGGACTTCTGGTAGAAGAATTGACCTTCACCAATGGAAGACAGAGAAGACTTGGATTCGGGAGACTGAAGAGTGATACCACCAACCGTTATTTGATGCAATGAAGATGGGCTGAGAGGTACAGAAGATGAGCACATCAATGGACTGTTCAAGCCCGAGGAAGAGATTTGCTCGTGGGCAATCTTGCATGCTTTATCCAATAAGGAGTCAATGTACTTGTGATATGCATCCATTCGGATTTGCACGTGTTTTTGGACCTGATAGATAGCCAAGAATAAATAATTTTGAGTAAACTATGGCAAATAAGCATTAATGCACAACAGCAGCAAAGCCTTTATCCCAAATTTTCGAGGTCATTGACATGAATCCTACTCTTCCATTTAGTTTCGCTGCGAGCTATATCCTCCATTAAGTCAATCATCATCATATATCATATCTTTCTTAACTGCTTACAATCCAGTGCTTGTAGGCCTATCTCTAGCCCTCCTTTCATCATTTAGTTAAATAAGCATTAATGTAGAATAAGTAAATAAGTGAGGAGTTTGCCTGACAATTATCAGATAGTGGATAGATTCTCACTAAGAATCACCAGGGTTCAAAATTTATCCCCGTGCTTCTGCCTTAGATAGCTCATAAGCACAATCATATATTAACATAAAAGAAGAGAGCCATGTTCAGAAAGTATACTGACCTCCAAGTCTCTCTGCCATCAAAGACAAATGAAAAGTTAAGCTAGATTGAAAGCACCTCTCTGCTATGATTATAGTAGTGAATGACCAAGGGGACATACCCTGATTTCACAAAAGTTTATTCATAAACTTGTTCTCTAAGCTCCATAACTCGGAATGGAATGCAAAAAATATGAGGGCTGAAATGAAAGGAACGAGGATCACATAAGCAGAACTACCTTTCTCCGTTCCCTCCATTCTAACGTGGAGCTAGCCAATTGGTAATGAAAGCTACTGTTAACATATTTATTTTAATATCACAATGAGAGGTTGAAATTTTCCTTACTTCTACAGCAATTTAAATATAAATATCATAATGCACGTCACTTTAAAGATATATTTCATAAGATGACACTCAGATCTGATGTCGCCTTCAGCTTTGACAGCTATATTGTAGGATTCATTCGCATGAACCTGGCACTTAATAAAGCTCAGTATGCAGGGGAGGATCTACATACAGTCCGGGGGGGCCACGGCCCCCCCAAAATTTGGGAAAAAAATTAGGATGATCTATTCCCCAAGGCCCGGGGGGGGGGGGGGGGGGGGGGGAATTAGGGTGCTCTATTCCTAATTTGGGGAAAAAAATTAGTTTGTGAATATTAATTATTTGAGGGATTTTATGTATATATTAATAATAAATACATTACCATGAGCAGCAACAAGATTAATAAAGGGGGTTTCATTGAAATTGGAAATTTATGAAGAGGTATTTAGCGAATGGTTATTCTTAAGGGGGTTTATTAATAAAGGGGGTTATTCTTAAGGGATTAATAAAGGGGGTTTCATTGAAATAGGAAAAGATAATGTATCTTCACTCCATCGTAATGCTGAAAAGGCATGTGAGGATTTGATGAACCAACCGCAACATATATCAAGGCGATTCGACAACTTCAATGCTGAACAAGTTGCAACAAATCGTCTTCGGTTAAGAGCTCACATACTTGTGGTGCGATTGCTTGCACTCCAAGGGATTCCGTTTAGAGGCCACGATGAGAAATCTAGTTCGTCCAATCGTGGCAATTTTCTTGAATTTTTGGATGTGCTGGCCATGGAGAATGACGAATTTTCAAAGGCAATTGCGAAAGCTCCCAAAAATGCCAAATATACAAGTCATGATATTCAAAAACAAATACTTCATGTGTTTTCAGTGAGATTGAAAAATGCAATTCGTGAAGAAATTGGAGTTGCCAAGTATTACATTATTGTTAATGAAGCCCGTGATGAGTAAAAAAAAAGAGCAAATGTCTATTGTGTTGTGGTTTGTGGACACTAATGGATTCATTCAAGAAAAGAGCATTATTGTCAAGTTTTATGCACAAGATTTTACAAGTGAAGAAAAAGAGAGTTTGAAGATGCAACTGAAACATTATGAGCATAATGTAGTCAAAGGGTCAGACTTCAAAACTCTTTCAACCATTTCTGAGTTGTGTCAATGGTTGGTAAAGACTAATAAATCTGCTACATACGACCTCATTTTTAGAGTGATCGTACTTGTGCTTACTCTTCCAGTTTCTACTGCTACTGCAGAACGATCATTCTCAGCTATGAATATCGTCAAAACTAGGCTTCGAAGCAAAATGGAGGATACTTTCCTCTCCGACGTATTAATGGTGTTTATTAAAAGAGAAATTGCTAAAAGTCTGAGCATTGATGATATCATTGAAGACTTTAAAAATTTTAAGGAACGTCGAATTCCTTTTAGTTAGAGAAATTTTTTTATCTATCTTTTGTACGCGGCCCCCCCAGAACTAAAATCCTGGATCCGCCCCTGTCAGTATGTGGAGTAGATTATAACCCACTGACCCTTAGATCGTCATCTGCCTATTATTGACATGCATCAGCAAGATTTAATTGCTGGGATGCTGACAATGTATTTTTCTAATCTTTTCATTGCATATGGGGCAAAAAAGAATTACAGGGAAGCAAACGTTATATTTTATACATGTTGAAAGTGTCCAAGGGAAACCTATATAGAACTATATCAGGACAAGGACAAGGAGTAGGATGGAATACAGAGAGGAGATCATGAGATTCTCAACCCTTGCATATAACTAATCCAGAAGCAGGGGATAAATCAAATACAAAGCAAGTCACTTTGATGAGCCTAAACCAGGGAAATGAAAATAGTAGATCAAAACTGTAGCAGTTATCTCATGCTGAAAGGACAAACCCACTGATGTTAGCACTCTGAATGATTTTCTGCTTGGTCTTCCTTACTACTTTGCTTGCCTCCTTGTATATCACTCCAGTGCATTTTAGGTTTTGACTCAATGGAGCAGCTCACAAATCAAATCATGAGGTTGATTTTGAGCCATACATAGAGTATTTTTCTAAATTCACCAGCAGTTGACTATCATTACTCGGAATTTGGAAAATGGATATATCTATGAATGCTTATCACTTAAAATAATATAAGGATGGCATCACAATGATTGAAATAATTCAGTTACGTGTCACATCTTGGAAGAGTACACATATCAAATCAATCCACTTCAAATCCTCCACCACATTCTCCAATAATTAAGTCACTAATACATTGACATACACGCTAGCAACCCTAGATGGCTACCCCTCTTTCTCAGGCTTTTGAAGCTCCTAGATGTTCCCTTAAGCACAAAAAATGTACCGGTTTACTCTCTGAGGAGACCCATGCATGCATTGACCTCAATTATTCACATGCTATATAAGAGAGAGATTCTAGTGATATTTAAAAAGGGAATGAAGTTAGTCCAAGTTGCATATTCATGCACCATTCACTAACTCACTAAGAGTATAAATATCAAAAGATTCTAGATTCAGACGTTACTCCAGCCAAAAAAATATAAAAACCACAGAAATACCTCCACTTGTTCATGAAGCCGTCGCTGAACTTCCATTTGAGCTCTTAGCGCTTCTTTGACTTCTTGGCCCCTATAGGCATTCAAACATTAGGTAATGTTCTTAGGTATGTAACATAAACTACACTAGGAAAGAATTAAGTAAAGACCTAAGTTCAATTTTCAGAAGTGTGATCTTACTCATTTGCATCAGGAGTAGGCAATCTCGGAGACAAGGCACTGCTGCTTGGCGTTTCCAAAAGGTAGGAAGCTGAAATTTAGAACAAAAAAAAAAAAACAGGAAAGCAAGTATAAGGCTCAACAAAGCCAAACAACATCAATGATGTATGAAGAAATAAAGCAAGCATCTATGTCATATAGGTAGAAGAACATCTGGAGTGCATGTTTTCTCCCTGTCATATTTCTATAAATAGTGCACAAATAGTACTAGTTACTAATCTCTTGCTGCTTCATGATATATCATTTAGGCAAGAAATAAAAGACAGAAGCTTGAATCAGAGCATCCTTCCGTAAGTTGAATTTTTGATTGAAAATAGAACCTTAATTATGCTATTACTCTAACGCAAAAAGGAAGCTGGAACATATTCTTTTGAACGGATTTAGTAAAATTCAGCTTGCGAACTAGAGATATAAAGGATTAGTACATTCACTGTTGATCAGGAAGTTCACGTTTTGTGCTCAACATCCGGCCAAGAGACAAATCAAATACACCACAACTACCCCCCCCAACCCAAAAAAAAGATCAAAAATGGGACATGTAGAGAATTGAGGTTTGTGGTTGTACCATCTTTGGATTGCTCTGACATCTCTTTGCCTGACTGTTTGCCTAATCTGTATTTCTGTACAAGTTTAAAAGACTAATCAGTAAGAACTATGTCTAACACTTGAAAAGTTTATTAGACACGGGCGAACGATTAATCAAGATAGCTAAAATGCTACTAACAATGGGATGCTACACCAGAAGTTTATAAATCAAAGTATGTAACCACCTGCAGATGACTCTTGAGGTGAAAGAGAGTGAGCCCTTTCACGCCCATTGTTCGCATGATGGTTTTTGGTGTAGCTTCTGCAACAAAAATTATATACTTGAAAGGTCGAAATCCATAGAGCACATTGGCATGTTGGAGTGATTTCTAAATATTTGAAAGGTCGAAATCACCCATAGCAAAAATTTGCAGAAATAAAATGGACTAACAAGAAAAACACATTGTATCTTATCCTTAATTCTAATATAACTTTATTAGGGGCAAAAACAAAAATAAAAAGAAGAAACTTAAAATCTAAACTCATCAAACAAAAGTCAACTCATCAGACAAGAAGGAAGGAAAGTCTCAAGCAATCACAGGCAATCAGAAATGGAACTACATCTGCATCAAGGAAAGCGCATTTAAGAGCAAAACAATTTACGACAGTAAATAAAATAGTGGCTGCAACCAGTTAAAAAAACTAAAATCTATCCAAATTTGACAATGAAATACTTCATAATTCACAAATATACCCAGTTCTAGATTGCATGCCACATGTTCTATTGAACCTATCAAAAGTGAGGGCAAAATATGGATATGAAAGACAAGCAATTTTTTACAGTTGCTACAGGAAATAAAAGCAAAATGAATAGAAAGCCTTTTAAACCATCAGTTCAACAATAAAGAAGAAGAAGGAAAAAAAAAAGAACCCATTTCAAAAAAAAATAACATTAAATTTACAGCAAAAGATCTTAAATTGAGGGTAAACGCTCTAAAGTAACAATATCAAAGAAAACCACATTGCATTGCACGCAACAGAATCGCAGAACCAATAAATTATGACAAGAACATCGATTTTACACCAACTGCCAACAAATCCGGAAACTAGCCCGCACCCATTTCCCAAAACGTCATCTTTAAGCTAAAGCTATCAGAAAATGCAAAAAAGGCGCGGGGGTACAAACTCTCAGGCCCCCCGAGCTGGGCAACGGCGTCGACGAACCGCTCGTGGAGATCCGCCGTCCACCGGAGCCTGGGCTTCGGATCCGCCGTCAGAACCAAGCTGGGCCCACCATGAATCTCGTCCTGGGCTGGAATCGAGGATTCTTGTCGCTGGATCAAACCAGAGAACATCTCAAAAAGTTGCCCACTTCGCTGAGAGGAGAAAAGTATTGTGATTTTGGGTGGTGTCTCTGTTGTTCTTGGTCCTTTGTTGTGTGCGTGAGAGAGAGAGGGAGAGGCCAATTGAAGCAAGTTGGGATTTTTTTTACTATTATTCTTTTTGGTTTTAAAAAAAAAAAAAAAATTGGGTGATGGAGATTTTGGAAGGAGGATGACAGGTTGGAAATGGGGTAGCCATGTGAGAACAAGGGAGGTTTTGGCTTTGTTTACACTCTGCCAGTTGACTGATTGATGTTAGGGGTGGGCAAAAACCGAAAAAAACCGGTTCAACCGAAAAAACCGCCCGAATAAGCGGGCCGGTTAACCGAACCGGATTAAATGGATGAGAAGAAGACTCTAAACCGCCCGAACCGAATTAAACCGGTTTGGATCCGGTTTGAACCCTTGAACCGCCCGAAAAAAAACCGAACCGAATTTTCATTTGGAAAGGTAAAAATTTAGATGTAGTTCTGTTCTCTATTTGAATAATTAGACATCAACTTCGTAATCGTGATTTGATCACTAATCTTTATACTCCTAAAAGATACTTGCTCAGCTACATGAATCAGGGAAAACAAAAAGCACGTATACAATTGTCCTCTACAAATTGTTTAAAAAATAGAAAGCAACAATTTAGTGAGTGACACGTGTTAATTTGCAGTTGATCAACGGTTGATTTTGAAATTTTATTTCTTGTTCGGGGATGCAACTGTTAGAAAGAGAAGGCAACAGACAAAGTCATCTCTGCCGCTTTTTTCCTGACATTTTTAGTCTTTATGCTACGCAAGTTAGGCGTCCAGAAAGCAAGAAGAGGATGAACAAGGAGTTAGGTGAAAATATTCTAGAGGTCGATTGTAAATATTTAGGTTTGGGAGGTTATTCGTGACAAAGTTTACTTTCCTCTCTCCGTTTTGGTTTCCTGTAAGTTTTGTTCTTCGAAAATAATTCGGTCCAAAACCGAAACCGAACCGATCCGAATTTCGGTTGGACCAAATATTCGGATGAAGGGGAAAAACTTTGGATCTGGATGAGAGTTTTGAGAATTCGAAAAATTCGGATTGGATACGGATTGGGCTTAAAACCGAACCGAACCGAATATGCCCAGCCCTAATTGATGTGATCATGTCCCCCAAAAAAAATTAATTTATTCTTTTTTGTTGTTTTTGATGTGGAGGTGCGTTAGGGGCACCTAAACCGGGACTGCACAAAGTGACCGCGCGTGCGGGTTAAGCCGTTGGAGTGGCGTTTGGGCCGGGAGGCCCATGTCTCTCTGTGGGTCCGCCGAGGCCCGATTAGCAGACGGGCCCTAGGCCGGGTTGGGTTCAGGACCAGACTGCTGAGCTCTCAGCTAACATTTGCTATCCGTTCCCGCATCTTGGTTGGAATGTGGATGCGGAGTTCCAACTCATCAGATATTAAACGGCGGTTGACCTTTTTTTTTTGCCTATTTTCATTTCACTTTGTTTTGAAAGTAATGAACAATTATCTGTTTTTCTTTAATTTCTGCTTCGTACCACTCTTTGTATATGTGTTTGCGGTGTTTTTCTAGGTAACGTGACTAATGTGTTACAAGTGTATGTTTTTTAATTCTTTAATTAGAGTTTCAAGGAGTTAAAGTGTCAATTAAATACAATCACTTAACTATGTAATTAGTATTAAACATTAAAAAACTGAGAAAAAACCTGTTTACGTCAGGAACAAGTTCTGTTGTAGAATTCATTATAACTGTTTATCGATTACAATGAATGCAAAAGAGTGAGCTTCGTACTTTGTAAAACTACTCTTTACAACAAAAATCAAATTACAAGCTTCTTAGAAACAAACGCAGGATCGTTGTTTGGATCGCTGCTTGCTTGGGATCTTTGCCTGCGTCGGGGATGCGTTAGCTCGTGGACCACCGATTCACAGATTGTGAAGGGGTTTAGGGATTCTTTCTTCGTTTATCGATGTAAGAATCTGAAGCGAATATCTTATCGATGTAAGATGCTCACTCTTCCAAAGATCAAGTCTGAGTTTAGATCTCTAGGAATCACCAAAAGCTGATTATGAAAGATGAAGACTCTCTCTCTTGCTCGAATGCACCAAAAGCTTAAGCTTCTTTGCTCCAATCTGCTCACCCTCCTTTGTTTCGTGTCTAGGGAAGTATTTATAGGGATAGGAGTACACAACAGTGGAAATGGAGGAAAAATAACTGATCGGGTATAAGCTCTTTGGGCACGTCAGTCTATGCTGCCGCGGCTATTGGAGCGTCAGTGTGGACTGGCGCGGCCAAAGAGACAGTTCCAGCCACGTTCCATCATGTTTGCAACCGTCCTCCCACGACTTTTAACCACTTTTTTCGTGGTTTAACTGTTTGTACACGTCAGCACATGTTCTCTTTCTGATATGCCGCCACGTGGACCTCCAAGGGATGTTAAAAACTGTCAACAATTTACATAAGAGGCTACTGTACCATTTGCGCGTCACACTCTGCTGTCGCGCCTTACGCGCGTCATCATGGGCTGCCGCGCTTTACGCGCGTCACCATGGGCTGCCGCGCCTTACGCGCGTCACCATGGACTGTCGCGCCTATACATGTCGCCTGTCAGTGTATTTTGACATATGCATGCACATTGTTCTCTTCTCAGTCTTGAGTTGTATTTGGATATATATGAGCATTTTTTGACGCCTACAGATACCCCCTCTAAAGTATATCAGCCATGTTTTATCACTAACATAACGCAACTGTATTATCAAAAATATAATTATATCAATACAAATGAAGCAATCATTAGCTTTCTAAAACCTATGTTGAGCACTAGTACATCTCTTTACTCTGTGTGTGAACTTCTATAAATAACTATGTGGGAACTTTTCATATACAAAGATTTGTGAGTGTATATTTGTGTATAGCTAAGTTCTCATGTGTAAAAGTAGGCTCCCATGATAATATGTCGGACAAATTTGAAAATTGACCCATTTAAAAAAAAATACAAGAATCAACCAATTTATAACATATTTGTCAAAATCGACTCAGTTTCAACCATCTGACTGAAACTAAGTTGATTTTGACCAAAAAACTTACCGAGTCCCGTGAAGTTTTGTTACCCAGTTTCAGCCGTCCGGATAAAACTAGATCGATTTTGACAAATATGTTGTAAATTGGTCAATTTTTATATTTTTTTTTTTTGTAAATGAGTCGATTTTTAAAATTTGTCCGTAATATGTTATTAGATGATATATCCCAAGAGTAGAGTTTTTGAGATAGACGACATACTTATTTTGACCGACTAAAATTAAATTAACAATGATATTTTGAGATGATCTAAAAAACCGCTTGTTGATCATGTAACTCCAAAAGGTTAATTATACCAATTTAGAAAAATACGTATCTTAATGAGAACTTTCCACACGTGAGTTTGAGACTCCTGATCTAAAAAACCTCTTGTTGATCCTGCAACCGGGCCGGTCCGCTTTGACCCGAAATGATCCGTTCGGGTTCAATCGCCCGGCCCATGTTAAACCCTAACCCTAAACGCGCCCCTCCATTCTCATCCTCCCCCCCTATATATACTCCTCCAAAAGCCGCTAATTTCTGCGGAAGTTCCCCAACCTAAAACCCTAATTTTGTTTTCCTTCAATTTCTTTAGATTTTTACTAGTTCTTCTGGATCTAAATGTTGAGATTTTGATGGCTGATGATGATTGATCTCTAATATCTTAGCGGATTTCAGTGAGATTCGTCTGTGATCTGATTTTTTGTTGTTACACACACTGAAACCAACTGATCTCAATTTTTTTTTTGGGGGGGATATTTGATGATGCGATGATGAGTTTAGTTTTTCTTATTATTTTTGAATAATTTATGTATTGAGATTTTGATGGCTGATGATGATTGATCTATTAGATCTTAGCGGATTTCAGTGAGACTCGTCGATGATCTTAATCTTGTTGTTACACACGCTGAAGTCATTCGATCTCTATTTTCTTTATTTTTTTAAATGTTCTCTTTTTATCCAAAAGATTTTTTTTTTTGTTGTTGTGATTTTCGATTTTTAAGAAAATAATAAAATTTTGGGAATTGATGGGATGCGATGATGAGCTAAAAATGGATCGGTGTTGGGGCAGTGGCGTCGCCGTGAGCCTTTTCCACCAAATTATACGACTTCTCCTTCCACTGAGCTCCTCTCATTCCCTCGTCCTTTTTTCTTATTTTGATGATTGTTTTTCGAGTGAAAAGTACAAATTTTTATGTTAATTCAAAAAAAAATTTATATTTAGAATTTGAAACTTAATTGTAGAACTATATCTGCATTCACGCTTTCTTATTTTCTACCGATCCATTCGTGTTTAATAAATAAAGTGTAGTAAAATAAATTATAGTAAACGTTTCATTTTGCTAATTAAGTCCTCATCTACTCTATATAAATATGAGAGAATTCAAGATTTAATATTTATGTTACAATAAATACTACATTAATATTTACCATAGCATTATTACTATAGCACATATAAATAGTGGTGATAGGGGCACACCACCCACCACAATACCAACCACACTCCCCCCTCTCAATGCTACAGTAAACCGGGCCTAAATTTAAAATCCCCATGTGAAGTCCGGTTTACTGTAGTAATGAGAGGAGGGAGTGTGGTTGGGGTTGTGGTGGGTGGTATGTCTCTAACATTAATTTTTTTTTAAAGTTGCTGTAGCACTGATTATGTAGCATGTTGGAGGGGCTTGATGATTATGAAGCGTCATCTGTAGCCGATTGAACCATGACTCGTCATGTTCGTTCTTTTTAATTGAACAAATAGGATAGACTCAAAAAGTTGTCTAGTTCTTAATGGCTCACTCACAAAATGAGATGTCCTTTTAGGGCCTGGTTGGTTGGTTTCTTAAAAACCAAGAAAAGGAAATCAATAAAATAATATTTTTATCCATTTTTATTCCTAAAACACACCTATAACATTTAATAAAATATTATTTTTATCTTCCAACTTATCTTATTTCTTACCTTTATAAATAAATCAAACACAAGAAATGTGTCACATCATCCAACTTATCATATCTTATCTAATTACATTTTTAAAAATTACACACATCATTCAATAATATTGTGACAACTCATCTCATCTCATTAAACTTTCCTTTCCATCTATTTCCTCAAAAAAAAAAACA